CAGCCTGAGAAATTTAGCAATTTAGTGAGACCCTGTCTCAAAAAAAAAAAAAAGAAAAGAAAAGTAGAGAAAAGACTGGGAATGTAGCTTAGTGTGAAGGCCTTGGATTCAGTCCCCAGCACAGAAAAAAGTCAACTCAGCCTTCTCAGGTGTGCTGCTACCTTCTCTTCTTGCTGCCTGGTACCTGTAAGTAAGTTATATGACATGGGACCATAATGACCTTATTTAATGTCACAAGAGGACCATTAGCCAAGAACCCTAATGGAGCAGATGGATCCAAAAAAATCAGGAAACAAGTTGTTGTTTGTGGATCAGGCCTCATTATTTGAAGTTTGATGCTTGAAAGCACAGGCGAACCTTCTCCCCGTAGCTGAGAGGCTGCATGTGCACGTGCTGAGCCAGGCTCTGTGTAATGTTGCTTACACGGTGTTTGTACTGAGAAGTCTGCCTTTTACAGCTTGTACTAAAAACGTCTTTTTCTATGAAAGTTCTTACTGGGATATTCTTGTGTCTCGTCTGAATCCAGCTGGGAGAAAGATAGAAGAATGGGGGCAAGTGGGGGTGAAAATAGTGGCTTTATGGGTGGTGAAGGCATGGTAGATGGGGCTTGGAGGTGCCCACCCTGTGCACCTCCTTATGCTGAGTTCCCGAGTGGGAGGCATGGGACCACCCAACACAGGCAGCACGGGACAGCAGTCAGCCTGCCTGCCAGAGTGCCAGCAGTCTGCAAAGAGCAGGTCCAGCATAGGAAAGCAACAAAGCGTGGGGTAGTGCCACAGTAGTTTCCACCCTGAGTTAATGAGGGGGTTGAGAGTGGCCAGGGAGGCAGTTCTGAGGATGCTCCTTCTGCGTGGAAATATGTGGGTAGGAGAAGGCGGGCTCCTTCTCCAAAAGGACTTCACATGTTTGATTCTCTAAACACTCATACCTGGATAGTTTGAGTCAATTTCTTCTTTTTTTTCTTTTGGTTTTTCTTTCCGGTACCTGGAATTGAACTCACGATCTTGCGCTTGCCAGGCAGGCGTTGTGCCGCTGAGCTAAATTCCCAGCCCCAATTTTATACATATAAACAGACACATCTCAAAGAGTGAATATTAAGGGAAGATGTTGTGTATTGATCTCCACTGTCAAGGTGATTACCTGTGATATGTGGAAGAAATTCCATGGTCAGTGTAAAGATACCAAAGGGGAAGGAATAGACATGTGTTAGTTTATCCACCAAAGATGGTCCCAAGTCGGGGCTGGGGATTTAGCTCAATGGCAAAAGCGCCTGCCTGGCAAGCGCAAGGTCGTGAGTTTGGTTCCCGGTACCGGAGAAAAACAAAAACAAAAACAAAAACAAAAAAAAGATGGTCCCAAGTCCATTCCAGGGGCTGGCCCTCTTCTCCTTGTACAAGCTGATCTGTGAGGTCTGGGCCATGTCATGTCCAAAGAACAGAGGCCACTTACTGGGTACTCCTCCCCCTGTAATGGATTTTGATTTCTACTTCAAAATAAGTATTGTAGGTAGTTCATTTTGCACAAGCTAAAAGTTAGTCCCTTTTTGTCTTCTGTGATTATATCATCTTTTGTGGGTTTATGTCTAATTCATATTCATGTCTAATGAAATATTGTATCTGTAATCATGTTGATCTAAAACATGTACTAAAAGTAAACATTAGTTTAACGTTTTAATTATGCACTCATATGGAAGTTTGTAAAGGGTACAGATTTATTGAATGACCAAACTCAAGTGTGGGATTGTTAATTAAACAATGTATACATTCGGTGAAATACTACATAAATACTTTCCAGTATAGTTCTGGTGACTTTACTGATCATATGGATGATGATCAACCCCAGAACCTAAATTCTTGGTTTCTTTTTTATTTTTTTTTGAGACAGGGTCTTGCTATGCAGTTCAGGCTGGCCTCAAGCTCATGTTGTAGCCCAGGCTGGCCTCAAACTCACAACAATCCTTCTGCCTCAGCCTCCCCAGTGCTGGGATTACAGGCATGCACCACCATACCCAGCAACTCTTGGTTTCTTGACCCTCCAAGAAACTCTTATCCTTTTCTCAGTGGGACCACCCCTTCTTCCAACAACTCTATCATAGCATTTCCTTGATGGAAAGCACTGTGAAGCAGTCCCAAGCAGGCCTTAAATTAACCAATTGGCTTTTTATGTTTACCTGTGGATCTGTCTACATCCTAAGCCTCTTGTCTGAGAGTGGGCAATGGGCTCATAGTAAGTGAACCTCTGTGAGTCACTAATCCCTACTAAAACCTTTAATGCCAGATGAAGCCAGAAAGCCTCAACGGATAAGATAATATCACAGCCAAGGACACCTGGATCCAATCTCAACTAGATAAAAACTATAGCCTCAGGCAGCTCACTCCTGGGTGGATTAACTTAATCCTTATTAAGGATTAATTTAAAACCTTAGTTGGTGAAATACTTGAGTAATTCTGTCCTTCTTGAGTACACCCCTCTCTTCTTCTGATAGCCAGATAAATATAGGCCACTCAGAGAAGGTCTTGGCCTTAGCCCTTAGAGAATCTCAGGTTCTGTGAGAGGGCTTTGATCCTCCTGGAGCCCTGAAATCATTCCATTCACTTTTTTCTTTAGCCTTCACTGTTCACTAGTTCCAAAGATTGCAGACCTGATCAGCCCACGATGACTAAGGGATGTTACGTGGCTAGCATTGTTTCCTCCATTATGTACTCTGGAATTTTTCAAGAACTTGAGTTCGCATGGTATCCTAATCCATCAGTGAATCTAGGTATTATCCATTTGTGCATTTTCAACTCTTTACATAGTTGACAACTATGGAGCACACATAGTACGCTAGATACTGCAGAAAAGAATGGTGTATACAGCAGAAAGAGTCTGTGTCCTTGTAGAGGAAACAGAAGTTCAAGAAACTTCATGTTGAGTAATTAAAATAAGCGCATTGGAGAATTTCACATGGGTGTTAAGAATAACGACACAGACGCAGAAGGATGTGTGAAAGACGCCTGTCCCGCTGTGTGCTTTGTGGAAAGCTCTCCAGGGAAGTGACGTAAGAGATAAGGTCTGGAGGATAAGCGTGCAAGAGTAGGGGAGGGGATTGAGACGGGGGGGGCAGCATACACAGAGGCACTGAGGTGGGCTCCAGTGAGAGGCGGCAGTGAGGAGGGGTCTGCGTGTGGAAGCTGAAGCATTCACGAGGGGCCAGAGCGGGAGGCTCCCTGAAGCTGTCTTGGGGCTTTGCTCTTGTCCAAGAGTAACTGAACGCCACTGTAAGGTTGGGGGCAGGGGGAGAAGTGTGAGAAGAGCTGTGTTCAGCAGAGCTCACATTGGTGGAGGAGACAACAGTGTGTAGGGAGAGCGACTCCAGGTAGGTGGCCCTGCAGCCCTCTCTGGAGCGCTCCAGTTTGTCTATGTCCATATTCATTTCCTTCCTGTTTACTTCAGTGGGAAACAGGTCTTAGCCCCTTGGTGCTGCCCACTCCACTCGTGCCACCCAACCCTGGCATCCCTGCCCCTCACCTGCACGTCTAGTAGGACCCGTTCCCTCAGCCTGAAGGACAGCTGCAGCATGGTGAGGCAGTGTTTCCCTCATGCTGTCTTCCTTCCCGCTCTCTCCCTCACACACCCAGGGTCTGTGTTTTCCTGGGGTTCTTATTTCCTTCCTGCGTGTTCTGAATCAAGGTCTCTGTTGGCACCTCCTCAGGAAACAGAGGCTTAGAAGCTCACCTTCTCATCTTAGGTCCAAGGGCCCTTCTAGTCCACACTCCCACCGGAGACTCTGAGACTTCCTTCCCTGCTCAGCGGAGGCTGCCGTTCCAGATCCTCACATCCAGATGTTGCCAGGGAAGCCCTCCACTTCTTCAAACTCCTCTAACTGAAGCCACACCCCCCTCCTCCTCCCGAAGGAACTCCCACCAAGCTCACCAGGGCCCCAGCTGTGGAGTTAGGGGCGCCTTTCATTTAAAAAATGTTTAAGATTAAACACTACAGAAAAATCCCCAAAGCTGATACAGCTAGTTATTTATTTCCTTTATCTGGTTGCCAAGCCCTCTTGGTTCTTGCTTGCATTGGAACTTTTCCTTGTTGCCGTTTAAGCCTTTATGACCATGCTTGGCTAGTTGCTCTGGTCTTCTGCCCTTTCTTCATTTAGTCACTCCTGTGACAATTGGACATCTGTGACGTCCCAGGCTTTGACACACACACACACACACACACACACACACACACACACACACACACACGCCCCTGTCAAATGAGGCTCAGGTTTTTGATGGGGGCTTTCCCATACTGTGTGCTCTTGTACAATCAGCACTTTATTGTCATAGTGATCAAGGACTCATGAGTACAGTTTAGAAACTGGGAGCTGTGGGACCCTGCGTTGTCGGTGCGGGAAGAAGAGCTGGGATTCCCCTCGCCGTACTCTTCTAACACGACGGGGGCAAACCTTTCTCACCCAAAGAGGCGTTTGTGTCCTCATACTGAAAAGCAGTTGGCTAACAGCTTTTTTCTTTACATGTCGTCAGCTCAAAGAAATCCTTGAAAGTTCACACCTACTAACAGTTATTAAGATGGAGGAAGCCGGGGATGAAATCGTGAGCAATGCCATTTCCTTCGCTCTGTACAAAGGTAAGAATAGCTCCTCTGAGCTTCAGCTTTGAGTGGCTTTCTTACTTTTTAGACTTGGGCTTCTTTTGCAAAGCAGATTTAGTGAAATGCAGGTTGAGTGTCTCTCACCCAAAAATCTGAAATCCAAACTGCTTGAAAATATGAAACTTTTTGAGTTTGCAGTTGATTCCACAAATGGAAAATTCCGTAGCTTGAAACTGTGTTTCATGCACACGATTATTAGGAATAGTGTATACTGAAGCTAAGTGTATGCAGTGTATATGAAACTTCAGTGCATTTCATGTTTAAATTTGGGCCCTGGGAAGTCTTACTATATACATGCAAGTACCCCAACGTCTGAAAGACTTTAAAATCTGAAACACTTTTGGTCCCAAACATTTCACATAGATTTACTCAACCTTGTCGCCTTGCACTTAATTTTGATTATAATATTAGGAATATAGACTATTATTGCCCCAGTGAGGCATATTTCACTGAATGTATGTATTTGGCAGAATACCAATTTTATGTCATTAAAATGCTGATCAAATATAATCATGGTATTCTCCAAACAGCTGTTTTCAATAGTGGTTTAAAATAGTTTTTTCAGTCTTAGACTCCTCTGAGAATGTTATAAAAATTGTGTCCTTTGTCCTAGATTTATACACACTCATTCACTCATTCACACTTTGCACTCTGCATAAATACCTTTGCATTCAATTTCAAGGGCTTACAGATCTGACAAAGGGTGCAAGTGAATGTCAGATTAAACACTCTTCCTCTGTGGACTTTACTGTCCTGGAATTGAATCCAAGTGGTAGTACCTGAAGTAAACATGTTCTTGGCAGTGCATTGCCATCTGGAGTTGTACTGCCTGATTAATTAATGCAAAGCACAGAGTAGGGCCGGACACAACAGGAAGTGTGATTTAGTCATTAGCTACTTGTTAGAATCATTCTTCTCAAGCTTGCTAGAAACTGGGTTATAACACTATTTGTAAAATGGAATTATATTTGTATAGATTCATAGACACAAAGAATATTAGTCCTAGAAAAGGCAAGAAGAACATTGTCAGGCGTGATCCTTGACATGTAACATTTAGGGAATCTGAATCTATGAAATAATATCAATATGCCATATTTCTTACACAGTGAAGATAGGCTAGGGAAAGATACCATAACCGAAACAATCCTTATTGTATACTCGAGGACATCCAGTATATGGTGAAGTGGCAATGAGGTGAAATGACAGTTCTGTGTCTCTTGTTTATAAACTCTTCCTTCCCTTCCTGCAGCCTTCAGCACCAATGAGCAAGACAAGGACAACTGGAACGGGCAGCTGAAGCTCCTGCTGGAGTGGAACCAGCTGGACCTCGCCAGCGATGAGATCTTCACCAACGACCGGCGCTGGGAGGTAAGCACAACTGGGAAATTCTATACCTTTGACAAGGCTGTCTGGGCTGTCCTCCTGGGCTGTCCAGGGACAGGCTTCCACAGGGGGCCCAACCTTAACTGGTCCATTTCCAGCGAGGTCTCCCATCCTGAATGTTGTAAAAGTTGTGCTGACACGTCAATGTTGCCAGCGTCACTTTCCTGGTCTGTAGTACGGGATAATAATATTGACTCAGGAGACTTACTGTAAGAGGTAATAAAGATAGAGCTGTGGAATAAGGTACTACCTACCCCTCCCGGTGTCATTCAAGGTTTATGGCCTTTGAGCCACAATGCGAGGGGTGAATCTGATGCAGAGCAGCACGTCGGCTAGCATAGATAGTGTGCAGACAAAAGTATAGGGATAGCGTATAGGCAAAAGTACAGGGAAAATAGGCACCAGATTATTATTATTATTATTATTATTATTATTGCTACCGGAATCAAACTCATGACCTCAGGCTTGCCAGGCAAGTGCTTATGCCACTGAGCTATATTCCCAGCCTTCAAATTTTTTTTGTTTTGTTTTGTTTTTTCCGATACCGGGAACCAAACTCACGACCTTGCAATTGCCAGGCAGGCACTGTGCCGCAGAGCTAAATCCCCAGCCCCAGACACCAGATTATTGAAAGTAGTTGAAAGAACCTTGAATAAAACTCAAGGCAGCAGCTTGCCCCACTTCTTCCTCCTCTTCCCTTTCTTTTTTGTTTATATCTTCTGGTGGTACTGGGGATTGAACCCAGGGCCACCACACTGAGCTATACCCCCAGCCCTTTTATGATTTTTTATTTTGAGACAAGGTCTCACTAACATTCTAAGTTCCCCAGGCTGGGTTTGAACTTACGATCTTCCTGCTTCACCTCCCGTGTTGCTGGGGTTCCCGGTGTGCATCACCATGTCCCACGGGAGTGCTCTTTTTTGCCCCACTTACCTACTCAAATTCTTTTTTAAATTTTTTTTTATTTTAAAGAGAGTAAAATAATAATAAAAATTAGAAATGATACAGAATTTGAAAAAACAAGATGATATGAATTCAATAATGGTTGTTATATTGCATATTGTTGTTTTCAAAGTAGTTGTTCAGATTACCAGATATAAGCATGCAGAATTCATCCAAAAATTAAGCATTAACTGTTCCCTTCAAGAAACCAATAGAAACTAGCAGTACAATTATTTTAGCTACTTTGTGTGTGTATGTGTATATATATATTTTTTTCCCCTTCTTTCTTTCTTTTCTCCTTTCTCTCATCCCAGTTGTTCTTTCCTTTTGAGCAGTTTCTTTCCCTTTCCAGAAGAACTGAAAACATCACACCACAGCGATATATGTGCATCCATGTTTATAGCAGCACAATTTGTCATAGCTAAATCTTGGAAATGACACAAATGCCCATCCACTGAGGAATGAATAAAAAAATGTGGTATTTTTATACAATGGAGTACTACTCAGCTATAAAAAAGATAAACTTGAGGCTTTTATAGGTAAATGGATGCAGCTAGAGACCATACTCACAAGTGAAGTAAACCAGACCTGCATCTGTAAACACTGTATTGTCTCCCTAGTGTAAGAACCTGAAAGAGTAAATAAAATCTGAAAGGTACAATAGCTACTGTGAAAGGGAAAGAAACCTAGTCAAATTCTGATAAGAGATTTGTTACCAGGGATGTGTACAAGAGTGGATTGAGTGTCACAGAGCTGGGCACCGGGGACTGACCGCCCAAGGCAAGGGAGCACCTTCACTCTGGAACTTGCACATGCAGTAAGGACTGCTCCCCGCCAGGAGGCAGCCTTTCTCACTTGCTGATGCAATTAGTGTTTTAAAACCACGTTTTCTAGTGATGTCCTCTTGTGTACAACGAATGTTCAGTGAACCTAAGTGCTCTACTCAGTAAGAACAATTACAAACCAATGTGTGGGTTTGCAAGGGCTGCTTCTTTGTTTCCAGCTATTCTGAATTAACAGAATCATCAGTGGGCAGTGAAAACAGATTTAATGTTATCCACATGTGTGTAGACCTGAAGGTGCATTTATTATATAACTTGCATCTTTAGCAGCCAGATTCAAAAAAACCTTCAAGCCTGCCATTGTATAGTAAAAGACTAAGACTTGATTTATATTAGCTTCTGATCAATTTTAATGATAGCTGTGCAAATACAGTAATGGCTCATTAATATTTAAGTTATTCATTCCTTTAGCAAACATTAGTTCATATTTGGTCTTTTCAGTATAATGAATCCTATTATACATCCCAAAGCTTTAGTTAGTGGAGGAAAGTAGAGCTGTGGATGAATTAATTGATTCATAAATGAATCCATGTATGAAATGTTCCATTTAAGTAAAGACAGATGGTATAAATAAACATAAACTCAGGCGCATTTTGAATTGCAGATTTAATTTTATTAACTCGACAAAGATTGTTCAAGGTAAAGGACATAATGATTAAGCGTGTGCATACACTACAAGTCAGCCCTCTATTTTCTTCTGGTTGTTAGATATTTACCAGCACACCATGGCTCATGTACCTCAAAATGGAGATGGCAGCAGTGCCTGCCTTGTTGGATTGTTGCGATGGTTAAATCAGATAATGATTAAGAGTGTGCTCAAGAGTTTAGACTATTGGCACTTATTAAGCATATATAAATATTTGAAAATAAAAGTCTTTGAAATAATGATGATATTTGTGCAACATTTTACAGTGCATGAAGCAGTGTACTTGTTGATCTGCTTGCCTGAGACACAAACCCATGTACAGATAATCTAATTTTTTTTTCTCGCTAAAGACACCTGAGCTCCAGGGGTATCACAGAAAGAGGAGCGGTGGTGGATTTTGAGAGCTTGCTCTGAACTTGACTCTCTCAAGGATCTTGATCTGTGTTGTCTGCTTTCATCTTCCTTATTATCTGTTTGGGAAAAGGGAAACTGAGGCTCAGAGACACAATCTTGCTCTAGCTCACGTAGAGACCAAGGCTTGGGAATAATGAACAATGTGTCTGACTTCGAATCCTTTGTCCTGTCTCATGTGCCGGTGGATCTCAGCAGAGTCTGTAGACAGCGGCCAGCATCACTGGCATAACCTGGATTTGTCAGCTGTGCACATTCTAGGCTCCGCCTTAGACTTGCTGAGTGAGAAATTCCAAGGTCAAGTCCCAGCATTCTGTCTTGTAGCAAGTCCCCCGGGTTTGAGAACTACTGCTTGTGCTTTGAAGTATGCAACCAATAGAGGGACACTGTGCTTAGGAAGATGTTTGGAATGAGGTAGCATGCGAACACTGCCTTGAGATCAAATGAAGTTCATCCACCATCTTCCCCAAGGAGCCTTTTCCTCTCTGAGTCTAGGGGGGTCCACGCGGGGACTCGAAGAACCTTAATGATTCCCTCTGTAGGCAGTGTGTGATCCCCATGAGATCAACCCTGATCATAAACAAAAATCATCAACGCTGCCACTGGCAGAGGATGTTCACAGAAACGAGAGGTCAGGCAAGACACACGAGTAAAGTAGGATGGTTGGGCCGTAGTGGAGAGCCGTGGGGACCACGGGGACCAGAGAGCCCAGGTTCCTGGGAGCAGCTGCCACCTCGCACCAGTGGAGGGTCCTACAACTTCTGGTTTCCACTCTTGAAACTGGATTTTAGTGCTAGAAATGTACATTTGGACAAATCTTTGAATTTTTAAATGTTGACAGTGGAATCAAATAATTAAAAATACCATGGCGGACATGTAGACATATCCCAGAGCTGGTGTACGTTGTAGCCCACTGCTTTGAGGCTGAAGTACACACTGATTATTTTAAGATTCTCAGGAAGCTTTTAAGGGAAGAGTTTTATCAGTCGTCCAGGACGTGTAGATAAAGATAACTAACAATTGGGTCTGACTGTCATGTGTTCCAGGGAATGACTGGTATGTGCTTGGTGATGTATGTTTTGCGTGTAGCCTGATGGGTCCCACTTTGCCAACTGTCTGTGAGAATTCAGTCGCTATGTGGAAGTTTCGTGCGCACGTGTGAAGAGCCACCAGCCCCTGCCCCTTGAACCGAGTGCTTTTTCTATGCCCGATACTGGGTTAAATTCCTGACCACCCTCACCCTCACATGGAGCACTCATCTCCCCTTCACATAGGCAAGAGCCCAGGTCACATCCGAGACTTCATCTGGCTGAGTTCTGACTCCCCTGTGCTGCCTCCCCACCTCAGTGCTTGAAAGAAAATCCAATGCTATGTTAAAATTGAAAAGATAAGCTTTATTCTCAGAACAAGATTGGAAGTGAAGCTGATGTTCCTATGTGGTGGGAAATGTGACCTGGCTGAGACAGAGAACCACCTCTGGGTTTTTCTCTTTGCCACCCAAGGGGTGAGTATTCCTGCTGCTGTTTCTCTTTAGTCTGCAGACCTTCAAGAAGTCATGTTCACGGCTCTCATAAAGGACAGACCCAAGTTTGTTCGCCTCTTCCTGGAGAATGGCTTGAACCTGCAGAAGTTTCTCACAGACGACGTCCTCTCTGAGCTCTTCTCCAACCACTTCAGCACCCTCGTGTATCGGAACTTGCAGATCGCCAAGAATTCCTATAACGATGCCCTTCTCACGTTCGTCTGGAAGCTGGTTGCAAACTTCCGAAGAAGTTTCTGGAAGGAAGAGAGAAGTAGCAGGGACGACCTGGATGTGGAAATCCATGTATGTAGTGGGAGAGAGCTGTCTGCCTGAATTCTCTGTTCTTTTGAGTTTCCCTTGAAAAACCTTTCTCTACCTCCATCTTTCCTACTCCCTACCTTGTTGCCGTAAAGTAGACATGTTGACCTTAATAATTCTGTTCTGACTTTCCTTAAGAGTAAAGTACCTGGTGAGTTTCCTGATGTCTTGCTCTATGCTCTGTGCTATATTTCAAATTAGTTGCAGTTTTCTGGATTGCAGAGCTTTATGTGACACACCTTTCAAAGGCATTTGACAAGGAGACCAGGCTGAACACACGGCTGCTCACTCATCTTAGCCAACTGGATGTGACCTGCTTTAGAAAATAACTCCCTGTATAAGGGGCTGAAGAACTGCTGAGTGCTCTTTTGTGAATAAAAGGAGTAGCAGATGTTCTCAAAGGCATCTATCTGAGAGGGTGTGTGGATGCACCACCCATATTCCTGGGGTATTCCACTTTAAGACCAGAGGTTGGTGGGTAAATCTTCCAGCTTTTCCCTACATAGAGATGATAACTCTGGGCATGTGTTATACACTGGCTCTAAGACTTCACCTCTAGTCACCCATGGTGGACCCTGTTTAGTGATGCTGCTTTTACTGATGCCCTTCTTCTCTGATCTCATGTCCTCACTTTGCTTTCTTCTGGAATTACCTCCCAAGTAAAATAATTTCCCCAAATTCCTACCTCAGGACTGCTTCTGGTGAAACCCCAAAGTTGGTCATTGTCTTTTGTCATTCTGGGATTTTCAGAGTGTGTTTTAAAAATCCAAGTGAGCTAAGCGTTTGCAGGAACTTAAAGTGTTCAGAGAGTTCTGGTTGACGACACTTGTGTCAAAGTCCTCTGCAGCACAACACAGAACTGTGTCTCATGCATGTTAGGTTTTGATGAAACCTGAACAGAATTAAAGAATATGTGGACTTAGTTGTTTTTCTGTCTGAAAATGTTCCATTGGAGGATATGGAATCCTAATAGGAGTTGGGATTCTAAATGCTGTGTTAGGAATTAAATCTTTGGGTAGCAGTCCAAAGAGATGAGCACATTTTTATGTTGTGATAATTGGATTTAAACCCCAGGCGAGTTAGAATTTAACTGGAATGATTTTTTTCTAGATGAGAAACAGATTTATAGGATGAGAAGGGATTGCTTTCTCTTTGGCCAGTCAGAAACCATTCAGCTTTTAAATTGCTCTCGGCACAGTTTTTCACCCTCTGCACCTTTCTATCTAGTTGTATTTTGTCTTTTATGATAGCTGAAAGATTTTGTGTCAAATTATACCACCTGGTGAGTTGCAGAGATGAGAACCACAGCGCTGCGCTGTTAAAACGGCCTCATGCACAAAGCCCCAGTGCTGTCTGGACACAGGGTGCTATCCTCGGGCTTCTCACCCCTGTTTTTCATTGTTAGAATAGGGCACTAACGGGATCTCCATTTGCACATGGTGACCACGTGCTCTGCCCTCCCAGGACGCGTCTTCCATCACCCGGCACCCGCTGCAGGCGCTCTTCATCTGGGCCATACTTCAGAACAAGAAGGAGCTCTCGAAAGTCATTTGGGAGCAGGTAAACGTCTGCGCTCACGCTGCATTTACACCAAGTGCGTGCTTTGTAATAGTTCTGACTTCCGAACTCACATGCCTACTCTACGATCGCCATTAATCAAGTAGAACGTCTGATGTGGAGGAACCCGACTGCACCTCGGTGTGCATGTGGATGGGGTGTTTGGGAGGAGGAGTAGCCGTGTTTGTGGGAGAGGGGGCCCTTCAGTAGGCACCTGCTTCTCAGACGTCTGTAGGTGTCTGTTTGTTTCCCAAGTGAATAATATAATTAAAAAATTGACTTCTCGCTTTAGTGCATTGTGGGCAGGAATTAGGGCCTGTACACATCCTGTACATGAAAATGTACTGAGAATTGTCTTTGTGACTTAGTACATAACACTTTTGTGTAAATTTCTGGACCCTAACACTAACCTTCTCCATTTTAAGAGCATGGAAGTGGATGGTGAATACTGAATTCGGATGCACGCACAGCCTTACTGGTTACACTGTTCAGGTTTCCTGTGGTCTTTCCCACTCTCACTCCTGGAGCTGTGTCTGCTGCAGCACGATAATACTGTCATAGTGGGAGACCGAGGCCTCCTCCTAGCAGTGTGTCACTCTCAGCTTCTCGTGCCATTTATCTTAATAGAGGGCGTGATTGAACACTATGGGCAATGTTGAAATTTTAAAAATTTATCATGGTACAAGATGCATTGCTGCGAATCCCCTTCACAATACTCCCCTTGCTTCAAGTACACTTATCCCACTGTTCTTGCCACCTTCTGAAGCAGTTCTGGACGTCTTCTTTCCTGAGTGTCTTTACCAAGTGCAATTAAAAGATATGAATGCTGCTGCCTGGTGCCACCCAGTGGAAAAGCAGACTTGTGAAAACGTTACAGTGTGACCTCATCCACCTTACTCGCTGGATCTTGCACCTTCTAACTTCTGGCTCTTCCCCAAAGTCAAAATGACCATGACACGTAAACTTTTTGAATCAGTTCAGGACATTGAGACAGCCACAACAGTGCAACTAAAGATATTTATGAAGGAAAATTTCCAACTGCTTCAGAAAGGGCCAAGAACAATGGGACAAGTGTGTCTGTAGCAAGGGAATGCTTTGAAGGCGATTAATGATAATATATTTTTTACTGTAATAATTTTTGAAATCACACCTCGTATTTTTATGCTAATTACACATCCAAGACTCAGTATATTTGATTTCAACATATTTCCCACTCAAGACCATGAATATCTTCAAGTTCAAGGTTATTTTGTGAGTGGTACAACTTCTACCCTGAAGCATTGTGGATAGTTGAGATTCTGTAACCTGCTCTGGCTGTGAGTTCATCCTTGTTCACTGTTAATCTTGACTGTATGTGTTAACCTAAAATTCTTCAACCCCACAAAAAGACCAGGGGCTGTACTCTGGCCGCGCTGGGAGCTAGCAAGCTTCTGAAGACTCTGGCCAAAGTGAAGAACGACATCAATGCTGCAGGCGAGTCCGACGAACTGGCCAACGAGTATGAGACTCGTGCAGTTGGTAAGTGTCTGGGCTGGGATGCCAGGGCAGGTGAGGATCTGTGATGTTGCAGGGGGCACCCACACGCAGGGGCCCAGAGGGGAGGGGCATGCCTGGCCTCCCCTGCTGGCCCATTTGAGGGCTGCAAACAAATGTGATTAGTCCTGATCCTAAGCAGGGCTCTTGGAGATGAACGTGGGAATCCTGGGCTATCTGATCCTAGGCCTAGGTCTATGTGGGGTGGTTTTTTATGTGATGAGTCTGAGATTTTATATGACTTGTAGACCAACAGAGTAGCCTAATTTAACTAGCTAACATCTATCTATGTATCTATCTTTCATATCTATCTATCTATCTATCATCTATATCTATCTATCTATATCTATCTATCTATCTATCTATCTATCTATCTATCTATCTATCATCTATATTTCCAGAATACTTTAGATGCCTGGGTCTGTGACAAAGTTGGTTTGTTACTAATGGCAAATGTAGTAACCCAAATAACATTTTGAGTTGGTTCCCATGCACCAGTGCTCCTGGGAGCAACTCCAGGAGTGGCCGATGTTGCGGCTGGAAGTTAGCCAGTGGAACCCTCCCTACCTGGCATGGAAGGGGCCAGAGACAGCATTTAGCCTTACCCTCCTGGGTGTCTCTGAAAGGGACCATTAGGCAGCACTTTGCTGTCTGATCTTTGATGAAAGCTGGCCAGCATGCTTTACCAAGGACTGGACCACTCAGGAATGTGAGGAACTGGGGAAGTTTTCTCTCAACTGCAGAGAGTTCTAGCCTTGCTTAGCTTTTTCTTTTCCTCTAGGTGGTTTCAAATTTGCAGTGATGTCTGTATTATGTGTTTTTTACCGTCTCACATCATGCTTAGTTCTTTGTGTTGGATACGAGGTGTGTGATCATTTCTTTTAACAAATTAAAATCTCAAAGACAATGTTGCTTCCTAGGTGATCCCAGCTAGACTATGATTCCCACTATTTTGACCTTTAAATATTTCCCCTGAGTGTCTGCACTCTAGTCTCTTTGTCACTAGCCCTTGCAATGTAAGAACACCTGTCATGCAGCAGATCAGGGTTTGTATTACCTTTTTGTTTGTTTTCACACTGTGATTTGTCTACACTGAAATCTTACCAAGAAAGCACACAAAGAACAAGAAACGGAGGAGGGCCTGCCCCTGCTAAGGGGAGCCAGAGGGTCTTGCATTTGCATCAGAGAACGGTGCCTTTCTGTGTGCATCCAGATTGACCAACACTAAAGGGGGCTCTCCCTGGGCTCAAGGCTACTCAGTTCCATGAACATCTGTCCTCAGGAGCTCTGCTGGCTGCATTTTGTCTACAGAAAATCTCCATCCCAGGCAGCCACTGCTGTGATGGCTTTCACTAAGCCTTGTATAAATCCGGATGCTCATGTCTAAGCTGTTCGTGGAGTCAGGGCTTGGCTGGGTGAGGGGTGGGCAGGTCAGCTTCATGCATTTGCCAGCTCAGAGCCCAGCTCTGCTCTCTGGTGGTTCTGCAGAGCTGTTCACAGAGTGCTACAGCAGTGATGAAGACTTGGCAGAACAGCTGCTTGTCTACTCCTGTGAAGCCTGGGGTGGGAGCAACTGCTTGGAGCTGGCAGTGGAGGCCACAGACCAACACTTCATTGCCCAGCCTGGGGTCCAGGTAAGGAATGCTTTCTGTTGCTGTAACAAAATACCTGAGAAAAATCACCTTAGAAAGAGAAAAGATATTTTAATTCACAACTTTGAAGATTTCAGCTCGTGGTTTGTCTGTGTTGCTTTTGGGTCTATGGTGAGTGCTTTATGTCACAAGCATGTAGCAGAGGAAGTCGCTCATCTCAGGGCTATCAGGAAGCAAAGAGAGCAGAAGAAGAGGGGTTGAGGTCCCAATATCCCTCGCAAGACCACGCCCCCAGTGACTTCACTTCCTTCCACTAGGCCCCACCTCTTAAAGGTTTCACTTTGTTCCAATAGTAACAGCTGGGACTGAGCCTTTAACATACGGGCCTGTCAAAACCATAGACAAGAGAAAGAATATTCTGAGTTTCTGTGAAAGCAAACAGCACAGCCTTTTCACTGGGAGCTGGTGTCTGGGTCCCATGGCCTGGATCTGAATCCACTGTACCTCACAGAATTAGGGGTGATGGGCCTTTGTTTCCCATGTGTAAATGTGAATAGACGGGCTGCTGTGAAGATTCCACAAGGCACTACAGTGACCATCAGTAACAGAGGAGAATGATGCTGTGGAATGGGCAAAACCAGTCCTGCAGTGAGGTCCTGCCCCGAGTTAAGCGAACAGCAGCTTGCACGTGTGCCCGCCATGCACTGGGTGTGAGAAGGGATGTGCGTGAGCAGGAGCTAACACTTGTCAGTTACACCTGTTTCATCCTCCCAGCACCCCCGGATGTGGGTGTCGTCCCTTCTTACTCATAAGGACTCAGGGCTCAGAGAGGATCTGCAACATTGACCAGATTGCACTGCTAGGAAGTAGCAACACTGGGGTCGGCTGCCACATGCATGGCTGCCTGCTCCTCAGAGTTTCCGTGATACCACGCAGCTCATAGCAGCACAGGTGCTGATGACTGGAATCCACTCACTGCTATAAGCAGGCTGGATTCAGGGAGAGCAGTGGCTGTGACAAGGACAGGGGAGGAATCTTGCTCTTGCTCCTTTGTCCTGGCTGGAGGGTAGGGGGTTGGAATGAGACTAGCACCCAATCTTGGGCATCTTGAGCCCAAACTCAATCTTTTTGCTAGTCCAGAATGTAGGACCCTGGGGAGGCCAGCTCAAGGTCACCATCCTATTGATATTCCCAAGACCTGAAGGTTTCAGTCAGATGCCAGGTCATCCACAGTCACTGGAAATCTCACCACCCGGCCTATTGCACCCCTCAGTGTGTTGGACCAAGGAGTTTGGTTGCTTGAGTCAGGTTGCTGTGTGGGGTCAATGATGCTGGTGACAGTGGCACCCACCCCTGCTTTGTTGCTGTCTCTGAGAGGGGGCTTGATGGCACCATGGGTGTTGGGCCAGAGTGCTACCACCAGCAGGAGTGTGTGAGGGAGGACATCGCCTGTCTTTGTTGGCCTCCTCCCCAAAGTGGACCCCAAAACAAAGCAGGCAGTCTGTCCTGGAGATGACTGGAAGCACATGAACAGTGAGACAGGCAAGGGTGAGAAGCAGACACAGTGTACCCATGAGGAAGGTGTTGCTGTGGACCACTGCGGACCAAGGAATTCCTCTAGAACTTGCAGGAGGTGTTTACTCTCAAATGCTACTTGCTGTTTGCCAGGGACTGCCCCTCAGGAGCCCAGCACACTTCATCCTGCCTGTGAGAGCAGCTGCAGGAGAGTATGGCCTGGGAATCTGAGGAGCAGCCCTCATCCTCCTCCAAGGGAAAGGGCAGGGCCCAGGTTTATGGTGGACCACAAGAGTCCCAGCCATTCCTGTGGCTTCCTGGTGCCCTGTCAGGCAGACACTCAGACCTCTTCCCTTTGTTAGGCTCTTTCTGAGAGTTTTGAGGTCCTTCGTGTGGTCAGGTTTGTGCCCACCACTCTAGTAATGGATTTCCTAATTTCTACCTTTGTGGACCTCTCTCTGGTCTCACCTGATTCAGGAGCTGGTGATGGTGGTGGGAGCTTTTTCATGCATCTCAGCTTGAACTGAAGATGTCCTCTCCCTCCCCAATTTCTTGTTAGTGTCCTGACAGAACATCCCCTATCTTCCCCTAGAAAGGAATCCCCCAGGACACTACAGACCCACACCCATTCGGGGCCGCAGGAAGAGCTAGGACATGTGTGCCCTGTGGATTTATGATCATTAAAGACAGAGGAGATTGAAAGTTGTTTGTTTAAACTTACATAATGAGAATTGGGGGTGGTTGGAAATGAATGGCTTTATTCAGTTTGCACTCACAGAACCATCTCTTATAAAAACCAAGGCACCAGCTTACAAAAAGATCTTAAATCAAACATTTTAAAATTGTATTCTAATAGCCCCCTTAGGATACAGATAACTTTTATGAAAGAATAATGACATTTATAAGATAGCCTTGTATTTTGGTAGGCTCTGGGGGCTGGGAAGAAAGTACTGTGTATCGTCCATATAATTGCATTCATATGGACCTATGTTCTTTACCTGTTTCGCTGCAGAATTTTCTTTCCAAGCAATGGTATGGAGAGATTTCCCGGGACACCAAGAACTGGAAAATTATCCTGTGTCTGTTTATCATCCCCCTAGTGGGCTGTGGCTTTGTATCATTTAGGTATGAGCCAAGGCACATAATTGCATGTGCAAGTGTGTTTGTGAGTGACCTGTGTGTGTTCTTGTGTACATGATTGTAAGCCCTAGAGCATAGGACGTTCATTACAGTGCCTACGCATGTGGTCTGCCATCTCCCCTGAATTTTCCTGGCTTCCACTTCACACAGGTAAAGATAAGGTCTCGTCTTCAGTACCCAAGGTAGAACCTGGATGTGTTAATCACAAAGGGCTCAGGGTTGAATTCTGGCAGGGTCAGTCTTCGGATGCAGTGTTGACCCGTGCCTTCCTCCTGGCTTGGGTGCGGATTTATGTTTGTGAGGAGGGCTGCAGCCCCGGCTGCATGTGTGCGTGGATGCTGATGCTGCCCTGGCCTCTCGGTGCAGGAAGAAGCCTATTGACAAGCACAAGAAGCTGCTTTGGTACTATGTGGCCTTCTTCACCTCCCCCTTCGTGGTCTTCTCCTGGAACGTGGTCTTCTACATCGCCTTCCTCCTGCTGTTTGCCTATGTGCTGCTCATGGACTTCCACTCGGTCCCACACACCCCGGAGCTGGTCCTCTATGCGCTGGTCTTCGTCCTGTTCTGTGATGAAGTAAGACAGGTAGGATGGTCGCAAAATCAGCTGCCTCCCAGCATCCTTGGTGGGACCAGAAGTTGCCACCAAAATTCAAAAGTCTTTGTTTTCCTAAAAGAAGTGTTCTCCTCATTGGTGGTCCATGAAATCTGTTTTCAGCTCTTAGCAACCTGGGAGAATCTCTCAGCTCCACGCTGGGTCCCGGTCTCTGCCCAGTGCTAAGGGCTGGAGGTGGATGAGTCAGGAACAGCAAGTGTTCAGGAGAGACTGTGAAGTCCTTGCGGTCACCAGGAGCCATCTGGTTCTTGCCATTACCATCAGGGTGGGGGCAATGGGACAAGCGTCAGGGGAGCAGAGAGGATTTTCCAGCTAAGGGCCTCTTCATGCCCGGCGGGTCAGAGTGACAATGCGTTCAGGTCCTGAAATCCTTGGGGGCTTCTAGGAGCACATGTGAATTATCCATCGTGCTTCTCTGCAGTTCCCAGCAATCTGTGGTTTTGGGCCTCTCTGTCCCACTCCTGAGTCCAGTAACTGTTGAGGAAATGTCTTGGTTACTTTTCTCTCACTGCTGGGACAAAATACCTGAGGCCTAAAATTAAGGAAGGAAAGGTTTATTTCACTTACAGTTTGTGGAGGTTTCAGTCCACACTTGGCAGGTTACAAGGCAGAGTGGCACATGCCAGAGGGCTACAGCTCTTGGCGGCAGAACACAGCAAAAGCAACAAGCACTAAAAGGGAGGAATGGCCACAAGCAGCCTCTTCCTCTCCCTTACATATGCAAACTATCCACCCCAGGGCAGGTGTAGCTCTCACACCCATAATCAGTCAAACTCTAAAAGCCTGCCCCATGGCCACATGAGGCTTTGGGGGGACACAAAGACACAAACCACAACAGGAAGTAAACGTTAATGGCATAAGACAGTGCTGTCCCTAAACATTAGGAAAAATCATCCTAAACTCTTTCAGATTTAGTAATTTGTGCATGTCTGACAACTGCTGTTGCTGTCACTTCTGTTGTGCCTTCTGAGACCAAGCCTCAAATTTTACCATTTCAGCAAGAATATCCCAGCTGCTTACCACTTACAGGGTTCTCATGGGCTGTGAAGTGCTAGGCTCGCTGCTAGAAGAGATTTGGACAAACAAAGAATGCTGTTCTGGCTCTTACAGAGCCCCCAAGCTGTCCAAGGACCCTAAGCTGGTTTAAAATGGCATGCCAGCTATGGTAGACCTTTTTTGGGATGTGGCTTCTTGGGCTGAGAAAGATTCTGAGGTCCACTGGTTCTCAGCAGGGCAATGTCTTGATGAAGTAGGGATGTCTGCCTCAGGAGGTGGGAGGATGCTGGTGCCAGTGTCCTGCACAGCCTTTCTGGGCCTCGTAGGTTGGAGGCAGGGCTGGACAGAGGCTGGGGTACAGAAGGAGGAAAAAGATGCTAAGCCACATCAGCCAGAGTTGAACACAGGACTGCCAGGCTTCCCATCTGGCAGCGGCTTCCCTGGACAGGGCCCTGCTGGGGTACACAGGGTTCCTGTGAGCAGATCAGCATCAGAAAGCCCCAGGCGCTGCTTCCTGAGGCCACAGCCCTGCCCAGACCATGCCTTCTGGATCGGTCCTTGGGCTGCCCGAAGCAAGCCCAAGGCCTGGTGGCTTCGCGCCGAGGCACACGGCTCACAGTTCTCGTGGGCAGAGGTTTGAGGTCAGGGTGCCCAGTGCTGTAAAGGGTGCAGTCCTGGGCCTCCCCAGCCCGGTGGCTGCATTCCAGGGCTTGCTGGTGGGGCAAGCGGAGCCGGCCTCCCGTCCACACGGTGTCCGCCCTGTGCTGTGTCTTTGTGCCGGCTTCTCCGTTTCCTTAGGAAACCCGTCCTGTGGATCGGGGCTGTTCCATGGCTTCACCTCCACTTGGTTACATCCCCAACGGCCCGGGTTCAAACGAGGTCCTATTCTGAGGTCCTGGGGGAGAAACGGCCTGGGGACGCCTCCCTTCGTGTCCCTCTCCCGCAGCGGCGCCCTGTCCCCAGCTCTTCCTGACTTCCTGTCAGCAGGAAAAATTCTGAGAGAAGCAGAGCCAGACGGGAGGACACTCGGCACGCAGTGCAGGGGGCCCAGACCTCAGTGCCAGGGACCCAGCCCAGGAGGAAGTAAGGCGTAGGGGTGAGGGAGGAGAGGGAGGCAGGGAGAACCAAGGAGGGGAGGAAGGAGGGACGAAGGAGGGGGTAAACTCCAACAGTAAGTTACAGGTAGTGACATAGCCTGGTCCCGCTCCCCTCACCCCTCTTTTTCTCTCTCTCCCTTTTTCTCTCCCCTGAGGCTTCAAACCAGGGTCTTCACACTGAGCTACACCCCCCGCCTTTTTTTTTACTTTGAGGCAGGTCTTGCTAAGTCACTCAGGTAGAATTCCAACTTGTAATGATCCTCCTGCCTCAGCCTCCCAGAGTGCTGGTTTTATAGGCGTGTATCACCTAATTTGATCTTTTTGTCTTCTGCTTCCTCACTCCTGCACGGGTGCTTTCTTACCGTAGGAAGCCCCCAGAGGGGAACCGGAGGAGGCTACGCACATGGAACCCGGGCTTCCCTTTTGGCATTGACCCTGATAGGGGGCTCCTTTGAGGTCCTCCAGGTGCTGACACGCACTCTGTCAGTGCACAGAATTGCACGGTGCAGGAGTGACTCAGTTCAACACTGGCTTCCTGTTCGTGTTTGACTTGGGTCTGACGCAGGACCTGGGGTCTTCGTGATGCTGAAGAGTGTGGGTGTTTAATAAAGGAAAGGGTGTAGCTCCAGAGCCATGTGCCATGTGGGTAGCCTTGGTAACAGCTCAGGGACCGGAGCCAGGGAGAAGGAAGATGCCTGCCCACACCCTCCAGCCCTAGGGGCCAGGAGTGTCCTTTCTTAGCAGGAAGTCCAAAGTCCTTCTTTGTATTTTTTATTTATTTTCATTCCATGTTTGTGGTACATCACGTTTACACCCTTGTGTGGAGTTGGTGCCTGAAGCAAACACCTCTCAACTCCTTCTCATCCCCTGCCCTTTGCCTCTATCCCTTCACCCCCTTCTGATTTGAGAAAGCTCTGTCTCCCTACTTCCTATTATCTGTCCTTTATTTTGCTCTTTATCTATATTTTGAGTTTCTCATATAAGAGAAACAATGCAATAGTTAAGCTTGTGTGTCTGATTTATTTCACTTCACACGATGGTCTCCAGGTGCGTTCGTTTTCCTACAAATGACTCAAGTTTATTCTTCATGGCAGAGTAGTACTCCATTGTGTGTAAATACATTTTCTTCATCCATTCCTCTGAGAATGGATGTATAGGCTGCTTCCTATTAGGAATCGTGCTGCTGTAATATGATGGATACCTAGAAGGGAAGTAGCTGTGTCAAATGTTACCTGGGATTGCTTTCACTATTCTGAGTCTCTTCCAGCTCCATATGAATTTTAGAATTGTTTCCTATAGTCCTACGAGAGATGCTGTTGCTATTTTGATTTGGGTTGCATTAATCTGTATACCAGTTTGGGAAGTAGGGTCATTTTGGAAATTCCAAAGTCCTTTTCCTGCTTCTTCCCCCCAAGTCCCATCCCTATAGCATGAAGACACGACATGGGACCTGCCAGGCAGGCCAAGTACATTTGGTCTCCTTGGATCTTTAAAGAAGCCAGTAGCTGAGAAAGAAGGTCCATTCTGGGTTGCTTTGGAAGACACTGCTTGGCCTGGTGGAAGAAGATTTGAGACCTGTGTTGGCCTAAGCCAAAGACTTTATTCATCCCTTCTTTCTTTCAGCAAATATTTATTGATCACCTACTGTGTGCCAGGTACTGTCTTAAGCCTTGGGACAACTATCCCCACACTTAAGGAGCTTCTTACCAGTCAGAGAGGAAGGCTAGGTCATTTCTGAGAGATCTCCAGGGAAGAGATAAGCAAACTTCCGCGGAAGGTGATCCTACATTTGCGGGGGGGGGGGGTGTCCAGAGGACCCAAAGCAGGGAAAGTCTGAGTCTGTAAGTCACACACGCCACTACAAACAGCTCCAAGTCACCTGTTTGGGTGGTGTAGGAGGAGGCTCTGGACAGGTGCGTTCAGCTTGGAGGCTGTGCTCAGGGAGGACACAGGGCAGGATCACTGCTTGGTTGGGAGCGGATAATGGTCAGGACAATCAAGGAAGGAAAATGGGCCTGATTCGAGGGAGGGTTGTTTTGGACCCAGAGTCCCCTGTTCTGTCCACCTTCGTGGGTGACATTTGCTAAGCAGAGGAATCGTGGGCTGTCCACCCAAGGTCTGGCCTCTTTCTCCTCAGAGTTATCAGTTTACTCAGCGCTCCCCGGTGTGCTCAGGGTCTGCAGGGTGGGTTCAGCCAGGCCCTGGAGGTCATTGCCTGCTTCACAGCCGTCTGTGCGGCTCCTGGCCACGAAGTCTTGTCGTTACAGAACCCGACACCGGGGGTCGCTGTTTCTCTTTGTCTGCAGCCTCTGGAGCTGGGTTTCCTTGCAGAGCCGGTCTGCAGGCCTCGTGCTGCCTTCATGAACCTGGTTCACACTGGGTGGTGGGGGGAACCCAGACAGCATTGCTGCTGCTTCAGATGGCGTCTGGGAATCAAAACTCCGCCCCCAGCAGTGTCTGCGACGTCCCCTTACCCTGTGCTTGGCAGTGTCTGCGACGCCCCCTTACCCAAGACAGACACGCACGTGCCCACCTGGGAGTTCTAACCCAAGTGGGCTGGCGGCAGCGCAGGTACAGTGGTGTCCTCCAGGCACTGCTGCCCGGGCACTGGGTCTGGAGCCAGAAGAGTTCCGCCCTGCTGCCACCAGCACTGCTCAGCCCAGGGGTCCACGGTGTCCCCGGGTCCTGTGACGCAGGTCAAGTACAGTCCTGGCCTTTCGTGACTGCAGTCTCTGGCCTTCTGCCCGGACAAGAGGTCTTTTTTCATTTTAAAAAAATGAGTTCTCCCCACAGTGTTGCCCTGGAGCCCCAGAGCTATTCTACGCTTGACTTCTCCTTGTCACGCAGGGCAGGGTTCTGACAATCACCAGGCAAGGGTGGGCTCTGTGTCTTTCATTTTATTATTATTATTATTATTATTATTATTATTATTATATTTGTGTTTGTGTGTGTGTGTGTACTGGAGATTGAGATTGAACACAGGGCCTTTGCACTGAGCTATATCCCCAGTCTGTTTTTGTTTTGAGACAAGGTCTCACTAAATTGCCCAGGCTGGGCTCCAGTCACAATTCTCCTGCCTCACCCTCCCAGAGAGTAGGATTACGGGCATGCACCACCATACCTAGAGGAGTTGCCTGCGTGTCTGGACTCCTTGCATCCAATCTGGCGGGATCTCTGTGGGTCTGGAGAAGCGACGGGGAGACACAGAGCTATGAGGCTGCCCGCTGGGCAGGGCGAACACCTCAGCTTCAAGCGACCTTGATGTGCGAGGTGCTATAGGAAACAGGATGTGAACCCCAGACAGACTCGGATGTGGGGCACTTCCTGCAGAGAAAGCCAGGTGTTTCACTCCCCTTGGTGACACTTTGCCACTGGTGTCCCGCCTCACACGGAGGCATCTGGGGCTTCCCTCTATGGGCTCCGTGGACCTCCCATCTTACGGCCCTGCCCGGCCTGTCTGCATCTCATTTTAAACACGTTCGCCGTGTGCCTTCCCATGGGACCGCGGCCCCCCGGTGATCGGCAGTGTCCTGCAGCATGTTTTTGTGTCCCAGGAGCCTGGCCAGAGTATTTGGAGTCCTGTGGACTCTCAGGAAATATATTTTGAATGGATGGACAAGCAAGAGGGTCAGATAGCACCCTGGATTTCCCCAAATCCAGTTTATGGATGTCTAGAGAGGCAGCCTTCTCGTGGATAATCCTTTCTCCTTGTCAGGTGCAAACTTTTTAAAAGGTTCCATTGATCAAGAGGGTTTACTCCCATGCACCAAAAAATCACAGCAAATAAACCAGTCTGTGAAGGCCACAGTGTGTTTAACATCCTGTAGAATTGTGCAGTACACATTCTACGGCACTGTGCGTGGCAGCCCGGGTAGTTCACATTGTCTCTCACCGACTGTAATCCAGTAAGTTCCTCTTGAGAGAGCAGAAGGATGTGTAAGTCCTTTTCCTTGATTTTCCCAGCAACACAGGGAGAAAAAGGAGAGCTGCAGTCCAGCCTGCCTTCCAGTCCCCTGGAATAGCTCAGGGCTGTGGCACATCGTGGGCTCAAAAAGGACCTGGAAAAAATGAGTGGCTTTAACCATCTGTTGTGTCCGTGCTGCTGACATCCTCCCGACCCTTTCTGTCCTGCAGTGGTACATGAACGGGGTGAACTACTTCACCGACCTGTGGAACGTGATGGACACGCTGGGGCTCTTTTACTTCATAGCGGGAATTGTGTTTCGGTAAGTGGCGCTCATCGCTTTCCTCAGCTTCCGGCATTTTGGACACAAAAGCGAAGAAAACCCTTTGGACATTTGAAGCCATGGGGAGTCTGCTGCTTTGTTTCCCATTAGAGATTGTTAGGAACCGACTTCATAGAGGGACAGTTCGCTGGCATCCCGCTGTGTCCCTGGCCTTCCCTCCCCGGTGTCTGTCACGAAGAGGGGTTCTTTATGATTTTCCTCTGTGTTCTTAGAGGTTTTTGGGAGACAATGATGAGGATGTTGTATGTCTTATAGAATCGGGTTGGTGCGGGCCATACAACCCACTAAGATGCTCTTCCTTTTGACTTGAATGCTGATTATGGGCCCTGCCCTTCTGGTGACCACCGTATTTCCTGAATTTTAGAGCCTGAGTACAGCGTTAGACAAGCAAATCGAAAATCACCATGACAGGCAAAATGCAAGGTGCAGCCCAGGTGGCAGAGAGGTCAGCATACGCCCACGCTTTGACTTACAGTGCCCGTGCCCGTAGTGGAGCTTTATTATTTTTTTTCCAGTGTTGGGAACTAAACCCAGGGACTCACTGTCTTAGTTACTTTCTTGTTGCTGGACAAAATATCCAGCACCCAAAGGTAAAGGAGGAAAGGTTTCTTTAGCTCACGGTTTGTAGAGGTTTCAGTCCATAATCAGCTGGCTCCAAGGCAGGCTGGCTTGGCAGAGAAACAGTTCATGGTGGCAAGAGGGTAGCAAAGCAAGCAAGGGCCTTCACAGCGTCTCTCTGCCCTCTATATTCTGTTGAGGCTACCAGGATTAGGGTAGTGCCAAACCAATCGGTTGACGGAGTCAGCAACCGCACACCCTTAATCCCAGCACCCTCAATCCCAGCACCGCACCATGCATGAATCAGTCACACACTCTAGATCCAGTCACCTCTGCAAAGGCCTCATCCATGCTGCATGAGGCTTTGGCGGGCCATCTAGACACAAGCCATAGCACCCACACATGGTAGACAAGCGTTATACCGCTGAGCCACGTCCCCCACAGTTACACATGGCTTTGAGATAGGATGAGCAGCAACATGTGAGTAATCACATAGCGGGGCTTTGCAGCTAACTACACATATGAAGGACAAGTGCTCTCCCTCCAAGTTGAAGGGAGTCAGGGCTCAGTGTCTTCCTGCAATGACCTTCCTCTCTGCTTGGACTAAGGGTCCTGGGTTTGCATCCTAGGTGCTTGGATGTAGTTGATTTCTAGATCACTCTGGAGAGCACTCACGGCTTTCAGTGGGCGCAGTAGCAGGTGGTTAGCTCAGTGTGTGATCTGGCTAGGAGGAGCAGCATTTTTTTGGGGAAGCTGCAGGGTCAGGTCCTCCAGGGCTTGGTGCTGGGTGGGGTCAGCATTACTGTCAAAGCTTGTGACGTGGGAAGTGGCTAAAGCTGTGACTGGTTCCCACAGGAGTGTGAGGACCAGGGACCGGGAAGGAGGGACCTCGGGAGCCCAGCCGCGTGCTGTGTCCTTCCTTCCTCCGGGCTCCTCCTGGAGCCCATCAAGGCAGGACGGTGGCCCATGAGCCACACATCTGGCCCCCTCTGCTTACTCAGCCTCTCAGAGCTTGGTCATTGCCCGAGTTTGGTTACTTCTGAAAACCAGACTTTGAAAAGTTTTTGGTCAGCAGCTCACAAATTCTTCTCCTCTTTCTATAGGCTCCACTCTTCCAACAAAAGTTCTTTGTATTGTGGGCGAGTCATTTTCTGCCTGGATTACATCATATTCACTCTAAGGCTGATCCACATTTTCACTGTAAGCAGAAATTTAGGACCCAAGATTATAATGTTGCAGAGGATGGTAAGAGTCAGGAACCCTGTTACGGTCATTTTCCTTGCTCTGGTTGGGGTCCCATTAGTGGCGGGGGGCGTGCTGTCTGGGGAGTGAATGTCGCATTTGTGGGAAGTCATGATCGCGAAGGTCTGCCTTCTGATCCCTGGGTTTTCATCAGGGCCCCTCCCAGGTTAAAACGTCAGGCCAGGCTGTGAGGAGCTGATGGTGTCATTCACCACGACACCCACAACCACTTGAGTCTGAACAGTGCACAGGCAGGGGAGGGACTTTTGTATCATTTGTACAAACGTGGACAGCAGAGGCCAAGCAGGTTGGCAGGGAAGTCCAGAGACAGGCAGTGAGGTAGGTGTGTGGTGACGACTGGTGATATACATAGATAGATAGATTAGATATAGATATAAATATAGAGATAGAGATTTAATATTACATATATCTGGAGATTGAACTCAGGGCCTCTGCACTGAGCTATACCCCCTACTCTTTGTTATTTTTTATTCAGAGCCAGGGTGTTGGTAAGTTCCTACAGGCTGGGCTCAAACTTGCAAATCTCCCACCTCAGCCTCCCAGTGTGCTGGGATTACAGGCGTGCGCTGCCATGCCCAAGACCAGCCTCGTTTTCTATCCACACCAGAAAGGAGTAACACAATGGTGATGTTGCTTCCCTGGGCCAGTTCCCAGCTGACCCCTCTCTCCACGTTTCTGTCTAGAAATCAGATGGGCGTTTGTATTACTCATCTGCAAGTTCCTCTCCAGTGCTGAGGTCGGGTCTGTGGTTTTAACTCAAAGCATAACTGAGGCATCTAGTCACCATGAAGTCATGCTGTGTATGCACAACACTGTGGAAAAAACTAAGCTGCCCATTCTTGTCTAATAAGGAGTGCTTTTATTTTCCTTTTTAATAAAGCCTACAGAAATAATTTAGAGGCTCTAAAGAATACCAGGATTATGAGGTGTAGACACGGAGGATGTGGGTCTACTTTTGTTTCTGAGCTGGTTTGGAGACTGGCTAGCAGAGAGGCATCAGCTGGGTTGAATCCTGCACGGTAGATGTCCCAGGACCCAAAGGTGATGATCTTTTCAATTAGTGAACAAACACCGGGTAATGAAGACTTTCTGGGCCGTGGGACCCGTACCTTTTCCCACGGCCAGGCCACGTAACCATACCACCTGGGCCACCGTCCTGACCCTGGTCTGATGTCCTCCCTTGGCAGCTGATCGACGTGTTCTTCTTCCTGTTCCTCTTCGCGGTGTGGATGGTGGCCTTTGGGGTGGCCAGGCAAGGGATCCTGAGACAGAACGAGCAGCGCTGGAGGTGGATCTTCCGCTCCGTCATCTACGAGCCCTACCTGGCCATGTTCGGCCAGGTGCCCAGTGATGTGGACGGTGAGCCTGACATGGGTGGGGACAGTGGCCCCGGGAGGAGGCAGTTGTCCTCAGTGGACCTCTGGCTGACCTTCAGACCACAGCCTCGGATGTGCACAGCCAAAATTGTGTCCAGCGTCAGGGTTTGGAAAGTAATCCTCAAAACCTTTCCTTCATTCCTAAGTAAGATCTCACTTTGTACGCACTATTTCAAGTTTTAAACCTTTAAAAAATACCATTTCTCATGCTTTGACAGCAACAGAAGCAGTAGAAGCAACAGGCCTCACTAGATTGGAAAAGAGGGCCACGAGTAGGACTTTCTTACACGACAGCTTAGTTCAAAAGGAGCAATTTGAAAGATTCGCGTCAGAACCTGGAATTTAAACTTCCGGCATTGACTCTCTGGCAGCTCAAGTCCTGGGGCAGCCAGAGGTGGCACAGGCGGCTTCAGCACACCCAGTTCTCAGGAGGAAAGTGTCGGGCACACCCACGCCGGGACATGCTTTGGATGAAAGCATGCACGTGCTACTGACAGTGCCCTACTTTGTCACTTGCATTTTGCCACCCTAGGTGGTCCTGAGCCAGCGCTGGCCCCAGCTGGTGGCGTTTCTCAGTTCTCTGGTGCTTTCTGTCATTCGGTCTCTGACCTCCATGCCGAAGCCTCTTTCTGGGTCTCAGAAACAGCTGTTGCTCTGTGCAGCACCGGAAAGGCGTCCTGTCTTTATTACTCCCAATCTGCGTGCGTCCTCGCTGCTGCCCACGCGTGGATGCACTCTGTTCCCAGACGGCCCGCCATGTCGGTGGCGTTCATCCCATGTGGGAGCAGCACGAGGCATCTAGTGAGCAAGTGGTAGGCAGGGCTCTGAGCCTGGTTAGCTGCCGCGTGCTGTGTGGCCGTGGGAAGTGACTCCACCTTCCTGTCGCCCTGTTCTGCTATGGCTCAGCCTCCCTGCAGGGCACGGTCAGGGCTTCGCACCTGTGCTCAGGTGGGGGCCGGAGCTTGTGTCCTCTGAGACGCTAAGGCACATCTCAGTGCACCCAGATAAAGTCTCTGCAGGTCTCCCGCCCAGACTCTGCCTTCCCCAGACCCCCGCTCTGCGCACGTCAGAGCCTGATGTCATCCTTGACGCTTTCTCCCATCCCATCCACTGGATCCAAGTCCTGGGCTGGCTTTGTCAATTTTGTCTCCTACTGCTTTTGAAATCTGACTGCTTCCTCCCATGCCTGTGGCCAGCCCTGAGCCATTCCCATTGCCTGTCTGCCCACATCTCCCTCACAGCCTCCTCACCTTCTACTCTGGCACCTTTGGATCTGCACTGCAGACAGAGTGTCCTTTGGTGTAATCAAACAGCTTCCAGTTGCTCTTAGTGTAAATTGTAAGCGTCACATATCCGGGGCCTGGACATCTTACGTTCTTGTGGAGGGGCTGATGTTTTCACCCCCACCTCCATTGCCACAGGGCCTTGGCATGTGCCGCTGCCTCTGTTAGGGTGCTCTGGGCAGCTGGTCCTCCACACTCCGTCAGGTTGGTGCCTGCTCGTCCTTCTGCTCTCAGCTCAGAGCCCCTTCCTTTTGGGGAAGCTGTTTCTGGGTGATCAGTCTCCATGCAGAAGGTCATCTGCAGATCCAAGGGGGCTGGGAGCTCCCATGAGCACAGGACGTACCCCCTTTACCCTTCCTTGGGTCTGGAGCTTAGTGTAGTCCTCAGTTCATAGCATCTGCTCAGTAAAAGGCAAAGGACCAGGTAAACCTTAGAAGTCCACCTCATTTGGGTCAAGTGCTTTGGGACAGCGTTGGAGACATCCCTCGACCATGGTCTCATGTCCCCTGGGATACTGTGGCCCTCCCGCACCAGCAGGGCCTCACTCAGCCTCTGGGCTCTGCACCCTCAGGTACCACGTACAACTTTGCTCACTGCACCTTCACGGGCAACGAGTCGAAGCCCTTGTGCGTGGAGCTGGACGAGCACAACCTGCCACGGTTCCCGGAGTGGGTGACCATCCCACTGGTGTGCATCTATATGCTCTCCACCAACATCCTTCTGGTCAACCTGCTGGTCGCCATGTTTGGGTATGTATGCAGTCACAGGCCCGGGGGTGGGAAGAGGGTGGCGTGCTGACAGAGGGCCAGCTGGAGCAGCTTGGAGCAGAGGTCACTGGGGGGCTGGTGGTCTGCAGGCACTGGGCTGGAAGGAGCTCCCATGGGGTCCCCGGATGGATGGGGACGGCAGCAGCAAATCTCCAAGGTTCCTTGTATTTCATGAGACTGGATGGTCCAGACTCTAGCGTTTAAAGGGTTTTAATGAGTTATGGCTTTAAATATTTCAGTGTAAATAGAAACACAAACAGCAGAGCCCAGAGAGTGACTTTTTGGGGCTCACAGCTAAGGAGGGGGAAGGGGACTATGTGATGACCGTAAACTATATTTATTGAGCTTGGCAGTGCTCCTTAGCATGCTTAGAAAATGATGCTTCTGGTTTCTATTTCCTCTTTCTTAGGAGGGTTATGAAGAGTCCTAGGTGGTAGTTTCCATGTTTCCTTGTTTCATACTGTTCCTTTAGGGCAGATAGTTATTTTATGTGCACAAATTCTGGCACAGACCACTTACAAAAAGTATGGAAATGTAAGAAGTTATTTAATGAAGCTTGATGTGGAAGAGGACTTATTTGTCAAAATCAGAAACTCTAAAATGCTGAATGGCAAGATAAACATTTTTGGTTTCATAAAACAGTTTTTTTGAGAGAAAAGAAACTGGAGATGAAGTGGTAAAAGCTGGGTGAGGTGGTTTATGCCCCCAGTCCCAAGAGTCTTGGAGGCTGAGACATGAGGATCACAAGTTCAAGTTTGGTCTGGGCAAGTTCGTAATTTAACAAGACCCTGCCTCAAAAAAAATTTTTTTTTAAAGGGCTGGAGATATAACTCAGCACAAGAGCCTGGGTCCAGTCTCCAGTACTGCAACACAAACACACAACACCAAACAAACAAAACAAAAAAGGAAGTGGTAGAAGGAAGTGGATTAAGGAAGATGTTTGCAATGCATGCGATGAACAGAAGCTAATAAAGAAAGAAGCCCTGAAAATGTATAAGGTAAAGACATCCCCAGAGAAAACATACGAGAGGAAATCAAACACTGCAGAAAAGAAAAATTCAGGTGTTCACTAAATAGATAAAGGAACTGAGCCTTGTAGGTAGTAAAGTACTGAGATGCTGGTTTTGAACTCATGATGAAGTTCAATGCGGTCTCCAGTGTTGGAGGTGAGGCTGGGATGCTGCATTATTCATGGAGCATGAGCTGCTGCTAACTCTTTAGAAAGTCATTTGAGAATGGCTGTTAAAAGGAAAAACATGTAATCTTTTGATCCAACCATGTCACAGCTGAGACTCTACCCCACAGATTTATGTACAAACGTGTTTATTGGATCACGGATGCCTGTCTCTGCAGTAATGATTGAATACAGTGTGTCACCTCTCGCTGTGGAGCATCACACAGATTGTAAAAAGACAAAGTTAGACCTGTATTTATGGGATGGCTGATATATTTTCATGTGAAAACAAACTGTGAGTTAATTTTATAGTGTCATCTACTTTCCTAACAGCAAAAGGTAACAACATCAAAAAATCAAGTATATATTATAGTTGTTACAATGACCACATATTGTTTTCATAATTTACAAAAAAGAATGAGGAAAAAGACTGTTGTCACACAGAGCCCCGAGACTGCAGAAGAAGGCTGTGGATGAAGGTTGCTTGCTTTGTTGTCCAGGGGCCTCGCTGTGGGTAGGACCGGGTGGGGACATGTAGCTCTGGGGACATCACATGTCAGCAGAGTTACACTGAGAGTGGCACCTGCTCTCCAGATGCCCTGCTGTCCAGACATCACCCCTTCCTCTGGTCGCAGAGATTCATCTCAAGCATCCTTGCTCTGTTTAAAGCCCTGGGAGGATTTCCTCTTCCCTCATAGGATGCAGGGTGAGTTTCTTATCCTCAGCTTTCCGCAAGGTCATCTGGGACCTGGCTCCTACGTACACCTCCACACCAGTCTTGCTACTTGCCATCCTGTGTTTTCTTCCTTACACGGCATGATCTGTTACCTAGATGTGCTCACCCATGCTGGTCCTCCTGTCCCCATTGCCAGCCTGAGCAGACAGAGAAAAGGTGACAGGTGACTATATATCTACAGGCAGGGAAGGATGGGCTGACTAGGTCTCACACTTGAAGTGAGGGTGGACAGGATACAGGCTGGTTTGGGATCTTGTTTTATAGTGGTGATGTATCCCATCAGTCTTAACACTTGGTAGTGCTGGTGAAAACCCAGTGACTTAAATCGATCTACAGAAGTTAGACATGAAGGCCAGCAGCTCCCAGTGCCATGGCCCTGGAGTCGCAGTAACTCAGGAAATCTCAGAAAGAGAACAGTTCACAAAAGCTGTTCAGGAGGATCATGTCACTTTTGTAACCCATGATCTGCATTGTGACCATGAAATGACAGAATTTGGAGCTGGGAGAGATGGGAGGTCTGACTGTTGTTTTCCAGTTATGGAGATAGAAGTCTGGACGTCACCATCGCTGTCCTCACCACATGTCTGGCATAACTCTGGACTCGTCTGTTGAGGCTCTGATCCACTGCATCCCACCCCACTGTTACCCCATTCAGGGCTTGAAGTGACAGCTTGGGGACACCTGTCCCCTGGGGGATCCTTCTAGACTGGCACTGGCTTAAATCAGAGGTCTTTTCTCTTTTAGTCCCAGGCTAGGAACTTGAGAGCAGCTAGAAGCAGCCCCACTGTGATCCTGGGATTAAATCCCAGGACACTGTTTCTGATCATTGTGAAAGTTGTTCAAGGCTTACCCTATGGGCCGTGGGCCCCAGGATGTTGCCCTAGTCTGCCACCATGTCAGAATACTCATTTAAAAGCTTAACCATATGCAATGAGCGCCTTATTAGCTGGGCTGTGAGTGTGCCATTGGGATTGAACTACAGCTTTGCCCTGCTTTCTGGATGGTATTCAACAAGGAAAGGAGATGCACATGCGTGCACGCACGTGCACACACACACACACATACCTGTGATTATTTTACATTGAAACGATCGATCACAATGCTTGTGTGGTGGGGCAGAGGCTCAAAGTAAACTTAGCTAACTTAGGATGTTGGTAAACTTAGGGTGCCGTTTCCTAAAGACAAATTCACCTGCGCAGTTCGGACAAGGACTCAACCCCCATGTGATCTAGAACAGTGCCCACGAAGAAACATTTTTCAGTCTTAGGAATAACAAGTACTTACAGAAAAGTAGAAAGAAGCAAATAATCACCCATTACAAAGGTTTAGTGCTACTTAGGGAGAGGCTGTCTAAATGGACTGAGAAGAATCAAAAGGAGCGGTCCACTGTAATGATTAGAGCTAATATTTATGGAAGCATTTTGTGCCAGGCATGCGTCCAAGTGCTTTGTGTGCCGACTCTTTGAATTGTTAATTATGTGCGTGTGGCTGCAACCATGTTATGCTTTTACCAGTAAGGAGTCAGAGATAGAGGACAGAGGAGATGACATGCAAACCTATTAATACAATATAATAAAATCAGCATGCACAGCTGTTTACAGAGGGGCTATTTACAGAGGAGGGAGTTCGTCCTTGTGACAGCAACCTGGCGACAGAGCTGGGATCAGCAGCAGCTGCCCAGTAGAGGTGACATGTCCCCAAAGGACTGTGTCCCTGGCACCCAGAGGTCCCTGCCCCTGATGTCCAGCATGCTGGTGGAGGAGGGGAAGCAGGGCAGATGAGTTGGTTGGGAGGCGTGTGAGAAGGCAGGCAAGGGCTGGGGATGGGGATCTTTCATGGCATGTTAAAGAACCTCGTCATTTCCTGAAGGGGCAGGGATATTCCACGGGCCTTCACCTGGGCGTATGGCAGTCCCAGCCGTATCACTCTGGTAGTGATGTTGAACACAAAACTGAGTTTTCATTTCAAAATCAGTGAAACATACTTGCTGCTTGTCTCTCCGTGTTGCCTGCTGCTGGTGGCTTTGTGGCTGCTGTCCCCATTCTATCTCAGTGGTTACATTTATTTCCTTTTGCTTTATCAATGACTCCTTGAATCCTACCCAGCTTCTCTTGAATCTACTCAGTCTTTCCTTCCCATCTGTCTTATCACGTTGTTTCATTTTTAAAATATTGAAACTAAAACATCACTACTATCTTCACAGCCTGCCATTCGAATGCCTCTAAAGTTTAAAAGAAAATGAAGTGTTATTCTTTTTTTCTTTGAACTAGCATGCTTTGTGCATGTTTATGGGGTACAGCATGATATTTCAGGACATGTATTCAATGAGTAATGATCAAATCAAGGTAATAAGCATTTCCATCCCATCCCTTGGGACACTTCTCATTTCTTTGTGTTAGGAAACTTAAACTCCTCTCTTCTGATTCATGTGAGACCTGTTGGTGTCCCAGAATGCGGAGGATCCAGGTAGTGGCAAACATGTTAACACATACGTGGGGTAGCTGGAGGGTATAAAAGTCTCAGTCACCCCGAGTCACAGGGCGGTACTGGTTACACAACACTGGTGCTTCCAGGAAGGAGTGACCATAGGGCAGCGTGTCAAATCTGTGGAAAGCTGCCACAAGGGGTCCACCTGATAGAAGCATAGCTGAAAACTGTGTTGTATTTCCAGTTATTTTAGAGTTCTGTTGTTTCAGCATCTACTTTTTCTTTGTGAATTTTCTTGCAGACACTGCATTCTGGTTTGATCAATCTTTCTATTTTGGGTTTTACTACCAAATGGCTTTCATTACTGAAATTTTTTATAACTTTAACATCTGTTGTACAAGTTCCCCTCATCATCTTTATTCAAAACTTTTTGGCTTTTCTTGTATATTTAATTGCATGGAGAAGCACGAAACTCATCTTGTGAATCTTCTTTCCCCTTCCGGAAAAAAAAATCTTGTGAATTTTATTGTTATGATGTTAACTTTCTAGAATTACTTAGAAGTTGGTTTCTTACTATCTAGAGAAAGTGGCTTAAATTCTATTTATTCCAATATATATGGTTCCCAGTAAAATTTTATATTTGTTTTCATATGTGTCTGGGAGATGTTTTATTAATTTATTTCCAACCACTTATGATTGTGAGATATTTTTCCTATTATGTTTTTTAATGAGTATTTTTGATACATATGATGGGTATTAAAGTTTTGCTTATTTATCTTGGACCAAAACTCCTTCCTGAATTGTTTCTCTTTTTTTTTTAAAAATTCACATCATGGAAGTTTCCTCCTACTCCTTATTTATTAAACTCTTTTCTTCTTTGCTTTCTCTTTCTTTTCTAATCAGAAAGTGATGTTGAATGTGGCCAGAAAACTTTCTAGCAACTATTGAAATCATATTTTCCTTTTGATCTAGGATTATGATGTATTATTCAAATGATGAACTATATAAATGTCCTCAGTATACAGTCACTCTTCTAGCCCATGTATTTCTGGATTTTATTTATGCCAAGGCTGTCTAAATTCTAAATGTCTGTTATCTGTTAGTGACATTACCAGTCTCAGTGAATTTTTTCTTTTTTTCTCTCTCTCTCTGTCTCTCCCTTCCTCTCTCTCCCCTCTTTCCTCCCTCTCTTTCTTCTTTTCCTCCCCCATCCCTGTCTTTTCTTTTCTCCTCTTCCTTTCCCTCCCCTCTCCTCCCCTTCTCTTCCCTCCTTTCCTCCCCACCCCCATCTCTCTCTCTGTTTCTTTCCCTGGGGACTGAACCTGGTTTTTGCACTGACTGCATCTCCAGCTTTTAAATTTTTTTTATTTGAGGCATGGTCTAGGAGGGTCTTGAACTGGGGTGCTCCTGCCTTACTCCCCGAGGGCTGGGATTACAGGCATGGGCCCCTTGTCTGGCTCAGTCTCAGTGAATTTCTGATATTCGGTGCCTCCAAGGAGACTTCTGTTCCTCCTTCTGTCCTGCTCAGGTGGCTCCAGGGGGCCACTTCAGCTGTCCCTGCACCTGTCCAGCCAGCTGAGGAGTTGCTAGGAACAGGACTCTAGGGCACAAGATTCCACTGGAGATGTAGCACTGTAGGGAAAGTTGCAGTTTCTTTGCAATGGGAAGATGCAGATAGTCTGTGATTGGTGGTGAGACTTTACAGTCAAAGGCACATTGCCGTGAATCCCCCTCAAAGTCCTCCGCCTCACTTTGAACATGCTCCTCCCATTGCTCTTGCTGCTTTCTGTAGCAGTTCTGGAACGTCTCTTTCACGAGTGTCTTTAGTTGTGCTGTCAGGGCTGCCTCAGTGTCCTGAATCAAGCCAGAATGGTGACCTTTCATGCTCATTTTACTTTGGGGAAGAACCAGAAGTCACATGGTTCCAGCTGTCATGAATAAGGTGGATGAAGACACGTGTGACATTTTCATTTAGCAGAAAGTGCTGTAAACTGTAAAATGTTTGAGAGTGACTAGAATGCTGGAATAAGTGTTTTGTCACGAGGGGGAGGGTTTTGAGAGAGGATAATGGCAAAATGTCTTTTACTGTAGTAATTTTTAAAATCTGAGCATTCACCATGCTTTTGGATCATTCTTTGGATGCAGAACAGTTCTAGCTGTTGATGCCTGGTGCTCAGTAGTTTACCTATGCCCCAGGGACGTGGATCCAGGTTTTCACCACTTATCTGTGAAAAGATACTGATCCTGGGACCCACCTTTGCCCCTGAGGTGCAGAGGAAGCTGTCCTTCCAACAGGACAGTCCTTGGAGGCTCCTGGGTTGTCCTGAGGAGCACATGAAATAATGACATTCGAGGTAGAGCTCTTGGAAAGGGAGAAGGCTACAGGAGCAAAGTCCTATTCCCAGGGCCTGGCCTCTGAGGTCAAGGACCGCAGAGCTGCTCTGGGAGGGCCAGCTGGGCTCTTGGCGTTGGCTGGATGAGTCAAAGGAAACAACGCACTGTGATCTTGCACCCGTCTGGACCTCTCTGTTTTTCTAAGCCGTGGTTAGCTTGAGGACTTTACATAAACAGTGAGAGGTTGGATTTGGGCCCAGATTGCAGTTTGCCAACTCCTGTTCTAGATGATCTAGAAGATGCAAGGTGCAGCAATTAAACCAAGGCACATTCTTCCTCTGTGGGCCCCTTCTGGCCTTTGTTTTAGTCTGAGCTCTTGAGGAGCGGGGACACCATCTTCCAAGGAAGGCTCTTCCCCTGCTGTAAGCATCATAAGGACTAAGAACTTCTTCTGGATAAAACCTCTGAAAACAATATTGGATGCAATCAGGTGGATGCAGTTGCTCTTGTGTGTGGGTGCTTGAGTTTGGGCCACTGACGACTATCCATTTTAGACAGAAGATGCATAAAATCTGCATGCTTTGAGAGTTGATGGTTAGGATGGTGATAGCTGCCCTGGAACAAAGCAGCAAACAGTGGTTTCTGGCAAGTTCTTCTTGAATCTAGGGTTTTTATGCTGATCCACCACTGTAGCCACCAGAGCCAGCTGGGGACCAGACCAGGAGAACAGTGATGCTTGGTATTAGCTCCCCAGCAAGCTGACCTACATTTGGAAGAAATGTCAGGCTAAATGTTAGGTTCAATTTGCTCTTTTATAACGCAGCTTAGTTCTGTGTGCTTTTCACCTAGAAAGGTCTACCAGGAAGGCCTGATGTGAAGATCAGCCATATATAGCACATGTTCAATAAACATGAATTCCTTCCCTTTGAAGGCTCCACCCTATTTAGGAGCACTTGCTGCGAATTGTAAAATGCTTTGTGGTTATCAAAAATGCTAATTCTTGCTAATTTTCTAGTTCAAATCCTTTTGAAGTAGAGCAGAGCTGTTAAAATATTTCATGTTTTACTTTGCTGAAGTGATAGACTTTGGGCTGAATTGTTGGGCTTGAATGTTAGCTTATTGCTTCTCTAATTGGGGAACTCAGAGCATTTAGTTACCATTGCTGCCCCTCCATTTTCTCTGTTAATTGTAGATAACAATAGGACTGATAAAGTTATTTGATGAGTAAGTCAATTAATATAGGTAGACTATTTAGAATAGTACCAGACACATGATATTATCTATTTTGTAGTTTTGTTCTAATTTGTAACTGGAAAATCCTTGATATAATTGGTTTGGGGATAGAACATAAAAAAGACCTTTCTCTCATCACAGGTAATTTATAATCTTAGTGTAATTCTTGGAGAATACAGTGAAAGGAAACTAAGGAGCACCCAAGATGTTATGCTAGAAACTGCCACCATGGGTAACTGGGTGAGCTCTGGTTTACATAGTGAGTTGTGTTGTAAGGACAAAGCTGAGCCTGATTACTTTCACTTGAAATTTAATATTTTCCCAAAGTACAAAATTATTCAAAAAAGTGTTTCTTCATAGTGTATGTTTGTAATACAAACTAGCGACATTAGTTTTAGGGGAATTGGTACATGCATAAAATTTATCTTAATCCACATATTCCTTATCTGCCTTCTCTTAATCCCCTACCCCATCTTCAAGAGTCTGGCTTCTAGTGCCCATTATTTATGTATTTGTATTGTAGGTTTCTCATGTCAGAGAAACCACGTGCTATTTAACTTTTCTGTGTCTGACTTACTTTGCCAAGCATAATGGATTCAAGTTGTATCCATTTTCCTGCATATGACATGATTTCATTCTTCTTTATGGCTTAGTAGTATTCCATTGTGTATATACACCACATTTTCTCTGTCCATTCAACTGCTGATGGGCGTCGAATTATTCCCAGAGCATAACTATTGAGAATTGTGCTGTGATAAATATGAGTATGCATGTATTACTATAGTATAATGTCTTCAGTTGTTTCAGGAATATACCCAGGAGAGGTATAACTGGGTCAAATGGAATTTCTATTCTTTGTTTTTTGAGGAATTTCCATATTGGTTTCTCTACTGGTTGTACTAGTTTGCATTCTCACCAACAACGTAGGAGGGATCCTTTCCCCCACATCCTCTCCAGCAATCATTGCTTTTAAGCATAATTTTTAATGGGTACAAGGTGAAATCACATTGACTAAGCACAGCTTGTGATGTACTGGTGTTGAACCTTTGGGCTGTGCTCTTCTTTTGGGGTAGGGATGAAAGCTGCTGTCCCACTGAGAGCCATGGCTGATAGCCATGCGTATGTATCCACTTACAACTGTTTCCAGTATCTCCCTATCCTTAGGTTAAATTCCCAAACATGCAGTCACTGGGTTAGCTGGGAATGTAGCTCAGTGATGCAGCACCTGCCTGGCAAGCACAAGGTCCTGAGTTCAATTCCCAGTGCTAAAAAAAAGCTCAACCAGAAGTCACTGGATTAAAAGACTGAACATTTTAAAGGCTATTGTTAAATACTAACAAACTATTTTTCCTAATTCTTCACAATAGAACGTGTATGAGGGAGCAAATTATTCCTAAGAAAGTCAATAGTCTGGGCCTCTTTGTAACACACAGAATAACAAACAAATGAAAAAAGAGAATCCTTGAAAGATTTCAGAATACAAGTAATTTTAGAAGTCATTGAACTTTTTTGTGTGTGATTAGAAACACAGCAAAACAGAACAAGAGCCAGTCGCTTGAGGACCAGCATGACTTGCAGGGGGCCTGGTGCCACCTGGTGTGGGCATGGGCTGTCCTGTTCTGTCTGGATTTGAGCTGGTACCAGAATAGCTTGACATCAGTGTGCCTGTATTTGGCAATGAAGCGGTGGTTGCATGCATATCTCTAAGACTTGGCTTCTGCTTTCTCCTGCCAGCTACACAGTGGGGACTGTCCAGGAGAACAATGACCAGGTCTGGAAGTTCCAGAGGTACTTCCTGGTGCAGGAGTACTGCAGCCGCCTCAACATCCCGTTCCCCTTTGTGGTCTTCGCTTACTTCTACATGGTGGTGAAGAAGTTCTTCAAATGTTGCTGCAAGGAGAAAAACACAGAACCTTCTGTCTGCTGTGAGTGGTCTCCCCAGCGACACTGGGTTCAGAAGTAGCAGATGATTTGTGGGACAGATGTGAGGTCCTTATTGTAACAGGAAAGAATTACTAACAGTCGTTCACTGCATACATCTGTATGTCTCTGGAGATCAGGCATCAGGCCAGAAAGTAAACAAAGAAAATAAAGGAAGATAAAGATCTATTGGATAGACTTATTTTGGGAGAATAACTTTCACAAACATAATAATAACATAAACAGTGTGGTGAACTAGCAGAAGTAATGGGCTAGTGTCAGATTGTGACTTCAAATGTTCAATATGGCAGTGTAGTGCTATATTTTAGGGTAGTGTGCCCTAAACCATATCTTCATTTCTAACCTAGGTGGCCACCAAAAGCCAGTGAAAAGGCTCTCATTAAATGTCTAAGTAGGAGGATGAAAGTCAGAAAGGAAAATTACTGAGTCCTTAGAAATCCCAAAAGCAAGAGCCTAGCAACCTCATTTCCCATAGTCTTCTTTGGGAAGGGTTTTTTAAATGATCTTCTCTCACCCCCCCCCCCCAATTACTGTAGATCTGAAGTTAAAGACAGTGTAAGTGAAGGATGGATAGAAATTGTACATAGGGAAGTAAAGGAAAGTATGAAAAGGAAACCATGTCTTCCATGAGCAGATAAAAAGACACTATCATAGAAGCAGTTAGATTGCAGGAGGCATCCGTTCCCTCACAAATGCGTTCAGCTCTCGGCAGGCAGCCATGCAGAAGGTACATGGCCTGGGCTCCCAAGGTGTGGTCAGTTGGTGGCAACCAGCCCCGAGATGGAGCAGAGAGCATCCTGGGGAACTGTGACACAGGGGGTCGGGGACCTGGGGAGCGCCGGCTGCCACGTGTCCACTGTGCAGCAACTGGGCATTGTGGATTCAGTGCCAAACGGGACAGAAGCCACCTGTGCCCTCAACCCGGGACCATAAGCTGAGGGGTGAAGAGTGGAAACTTAAAAGCCTTATTGAGAAACGTGGGAGTCACTAATTTCAGAGCATACACAAGGTGCCGGGAGAACGGCCGGGAGGACACAAACCCTCGACTACAGCGAATCAAGGGAGACTTCCTAGAAGAAGGGACTCAGGGGATGAATTGGCTTTGACCAGACCAAGAGGCTGGGGCTAGCACGGGGGTCAGGATGTGAGCAGTGGTTAGAGGGAGCAGTGAGTGGAGAGAGGTAAAATGAAAGGAGAGAGGAGTCCCAGGACTCAGGGCTGAGGGGCGCTCATGGAAGACCTGGGCAAGTCCCATAGCCAGAGCCACACAGGCCCCCAGCCCCTGCCCCGCCCCCGTGCCCCACTGTGTCATCTCGAATATCTGAAGGAAGAGAACGTGGAGACAAGAGGCGCGTGGAGACAGTGGAAGGAACAGTGACGAGAACCGTGACGCGTGTGTCCCAGTGCCTCTTGGGTGACTGGACTTGCTTCCTCGAAATCAAAGGGGCAGAGAAGCTCCCAGGGCCTGTTTGGAAGGATCCTTAGATTGCTTGGTAAGGCTGTGCCCCTCAACTCCTGATGCTCATTCTTGTGACTTGGAGGAGAGCAGTTATCGTAGGGTGCCAGGGAAGGGGAGGATTTTGAGAGATTTCCTCCCACTGGAGTCTTTGTTAAAAGGAGAGAACATGGGAGTTGAGAGCAGCTTCGGACACGGAGAAATCTTCTGTTTTCCACATTCAGCTTTGCCAGGGTAAGCTAGTCTCTCTCCTTAGTCTGTGCCTCTTCCTGCTATTCTCAGGGGGCGCTTCTTCCAACGGCTGCTGGATGTGGTGGTGTTTTCTGGTCATGACTCATGACTACTCTGGTCATTCCTACCCCACTCCTAGTACCACAAGTATTTTGCTGAGTGAGAAAGTGAAAATACAGATCTTACTAACTTAGAAATGGTAATTGGTGGCAATTAAGAAAAAGATCAACTTGCCAAGAACCATCATTCTTTGTGAGGTTCTTTATATAGAAACGGAGGCAAGATGCCCATAAGTCAGACCTTAAATATTGGTCCCGACCTACTTCTGAGCCCTCCCTGGAACTCTAACCTCCTACCAACTGGCAATGTAAATGTGCCAACAACTCCCAGCTCCTGTCACAGTTTAAGCAATCATCATAGTCAACTCTCTTGACAGCATTATTTCAAGACATTGCGTGTCACTTTTGCGATGTCAGTAACTATCACACATATGTAATTGCCTCTCTTGAAGAAAGTGTTTTGATTTGGATAAGTTGCTGTCTTACTCACTATCATTCTCCCTTGGAAGACAAAATGAACCATTTCTAACTAAAGGAATGAAAAACATCTTTATATCAGGGATGAAGATTGGAAGTTCAGACCTGGAACTTCAGTATACTCAAAGACTGTATCCAAATATCTGAGGCATTTAATGACATTTCCCAGGATCTGTCTTGAAATCATGTTAGGGATGAGTGTCTCTAGGACCTGAGAGAGGACTGAAGGGACCAATACATGGGTGAGGAAGGCTTACTGAGTTTGCTATAAATGGGCCCAGAGAAAAAAACACGGATAAAAGTTTCAGCGAGAAAGATTTTTGACACAGTGTACAGAAAAAAGAATGCCTAACAATTAGAGCCATCTGGAAATGAAATGAATGGCCCCTAAGGTGGTGAATTGCCCATTGGTACCGAGGCCTAGTTGGGCACTGGTGACAGAGGGGCTGTATGGGATTCTACTTCACTCAGCCCAGGGTCGGTGGAATCAGGAAACTCAGTGTGGAAGAAAGACAAATCATGCTTCCAAATTTGGGATAAGGTTCAGCTGATTGGATGAAACGCACCACCTTTTCCCCAAGCGCACTTAATGGTCAAGCCTGATATGAGCATAAAATGGACACAGATCCTCCCAGTGTGGCCAGCAAATGGAAAGGAGCTTCGGCTCGAGGAAGCGGATGGCCAGTTCGGAAGTAACTGGTGTGAATCTGGACCTGCCTGTGCGGTGAGTCCCTGGGGCAGTTGTAGACACCGTGTGAACTCTGGTTCTTCCTCTTGGAGCAGTTCTTCTTCTCAGGAAGGAGCAAAGAGGGAGAGACGGGGGGAGCTCCCAGAAGGCCAGGGTCCCTCTCTGCCCATGATGGCACAGTGATGACTGGAGAGAGTCAGAGCCCGGCTTTCTGATGAGATGCCTCTCGTGCCTGGTCACTCCCTGCCCGTCCACTGCTTCTCGGAGTCTCGGTTCCAGAAGCCGCTGCACTTTCATCGCCAAGGCCTCGATCTGGTGGTTCATTTCCTAAACGTGCTCTGCATTTGCCTCCATACCATGGGGAGGTCGAGAGTTTAATTTACTTTGAAATTGCCTGTCTTTGGAGGGCAGTGCAAGCTTTTTCAAATAACTTTCAGAAGAGCAGAATCCAGATTTTCACTTATTTGGGGATATCTTCAAGTTATAAAAAGGATGCTACCCAGTAATTGCATTTTTATAAAATATATATATTTTTTGTTCTTCAAAGAGCAATCTATATTCATTATACAACATTTGAAAGATACAGAAATGTACAAATAAAGATCACGGGCACATGTAACCAACAAAGAAGAGATAAATACTGTCAGCATTCTGGCATTGTTTTCCTATTACTGTTGTGGAGATGTGCAGTAACTGGATTACTCTATGCATGCATACTCATAACTCCATTTGTCCATTTAACAGATAGTATATGATGAACATTTTCAATATCCACGAATAAACCTATTACACTATAATAGATATATCTATATTCTAAGGGTCTGGTCTACGGCTATTCTAATTTTTAACTGTGGAATCATCTAGTCAATGGTTGAACCATAATTAACAAATCCCTTGTTTTAAACATGTAGGTTGTTTTGACTCTTAATAGCATAGGATAGGATGTGTCCTTTCTGAGCCTCTCCTTCATTTTTCTTTGAGTTATTTCTAGAGGAGAACTTTCTAGATAAAGAGTGTGCACAGTTTGTGTATTGCCTGTCCCCTTCCTTGCCTGTCCCCGTTCCCAAAGCTGTAACCGTCTGCAGACTTTTGCCATCCTATGGGCAGCCTGTGTCTCCACATCCTCCCCAACACAGAGCGCAGGCATTATTTTAGAGCCTGCTAATTTTCCAGGGTGAGAAGTGAAAATGCTCTGTCTTCATTTTAGCTTGCATTCCTCAGCCTGTGACAGAGCTTGGCCAGTGTCTCTCGGTCCTTTGTCATTCTTGTTCTCTTACCAGCTGTGCTAGGGGGCTTCAGTCTCTTCTGTGTTGAGTTTTACATTCTCCTCTTGGGCTTGCACATATGTTTTAGTTTAAAGAAAAGACATTGAGAACACGTTTTTTAAAACCGTGGTTAAGAACTATTTTATAAACTGAATTACCATCATTTAAAGATAAATACATATAGCTGGGTATGGTAACACATGCCTATAATCCCAGCTACTTGGGAGGCTGAGGCAGGAGGATTACAAGTTCGAGTCTGGCCTGGGAAATTTAGCAAGACTTTGTCTCCAAAAAAGTGTAGGGGGTGGGGGTGTGGTTATAACTCAGTCCTATAGTGCCCCTGGCTTCAATCTTAAGTACCCCTCCCTGAAAAAAAACTTGCTTATATGGGATTTGTGTAAATCAAAACATTTACATATTGATTTTTTGACGCTCAATTAATTCTTTATAAATACAGGAAGATATTGCAATTCCTAAACTCTAACATGAGAATGAATACATTTAAATGGTAAGTTAAAAGTAAAAGCCACCTAAGTCTGTTCCAAGTGGGCCGCCTGCGCAAACATACGTGCTTTCTTTGCTCGTGGACTCATGAGGCGGTTTGATGTCCGCTGCGTTCGTGCCTGAAGTGGGTGAAGTGACGATCAGTTCTTTTGCTTGCCTGCCATCTGGCATGGTAAGAAACTGAACTACGACTGGAGCATGGCGCAGGCCAGCTTTATACTCTGGCCGGGCTTAGGTGGAAGAGAAAGACTAGGGGTGAGAATTTTCTTTCAGATCCACGCTCAGACTGTGTGTGTGATAAGGACAGGAACAATATCTCCAGCTTATTTTCCTCTTTTCTAAAGCTCTTGCTGCCTTTTTAGGGTGCCTGCTGGGAAGCCATTGGCAATTATCTAACTGAACGGTTCAGCATTTTTATGCCGTCAGAGTAGAACAGGAGCATGCGCACATCAAAAGTGAGAACCAAAGTCATCAGTGGGATGATTTTCTAAGTCACAAAACACAGACAAGATTTGACTTGATCCTGTTTGGAATAAAGACTGTGCTTATTGCATAGGAGGAGCTCTGATTCTTCACTGTTACCCAGAAAGCCATGAATAGCCTGTCACCCTGTGCCGTCACTGATAAGTAAGAGTAGTGAGGTCAGCCAGGGCAGAACCCAAGTTCTCTAGTTCCAAGGTCTCACAAAACGCCCAGCGGGTGTTGATTTAGGAAGCAAGAAGCAAATGAAACAATGCGAATGTCTTTCTTTTCTCATTATCCAAGGTTTCCGAAATGAGGACAATGAGACTTTGGCGTGGGAAGGTGTCATGAAGGAAAATTACCTTGTCAAGATCAACACGAAATCCAACGACCACTCAGAAGAGTATGTCAGTTGCTTATTCCTGCTTTGCAAATCCCCCTTCCTAGATGGAAGCTGGCAGCATGTAGACGCTTATTTGTGCACGTTCTGTAAAGAGCATTTGCAAGAGGCAGCAGCAGTGCCAGTAGACATCACCCAGGCCACTGAGGATGACACACAGGGTTTGCCAACCTTCCAAGAAGGAAAAGCCACCCTTGCTATCCTGATTGTCCCTCAGAGTCCTGGGGAGAAAGAGGTAGTTAGAGCCAGCAGCGAAAGACCACAGAATCAGGTAACAAGAGCCAGCACTGGAGAGATGGCTTCCAGGAAGCTCCACAGGTCACGCGCAGATGGCTTTATCTTGAGGGGCCGCACACCTGTTTATCTCTTTGATGCCAAACTACAGAGATCAGAAGATGGAAGCACTTTGACTGGTCTGTCATAAGCTCTCCCTGTAATCTTGAGCATCATTTTTGAATCACATGGAGCTGTTCTAAATGCCCATGTGATTCATAAACATGGTCACTGAGCATCTTATGGAAGTGGCTGTTTCAGCTAAGTCTCCCGGTGGTCTACAAGCAATGGATTATAAAGTTTATGAAAGCTTGCCTGTCCCATTGTGGAGCTTAGCAGTCTTCACAGACAGCTGTTAGTCTTCCTGGGGATTCAAAATACACCTCAAATTGTGCTCTAGCAAAGGGTGAGTAAGTATAAGCCCAAGGAATCCCTTTGTTAGGTTCCGCATGCTACTGAAAGTGATGCCAGATGCTTTCTCTTGGAGCAGTGATGTGGATGCCTTGTGTTCTGGACTCAAGCTGTTGGGAGGGAGAGGGACCTTACAAGTGGTCTTTCCCCACCTGTCAGAGGCAGCATGTATCTGCTATCCTTCTCACTGGGCAAGAAGGGCATTCTGCTTTGTTTGTGTATTACCAAAAAAACTGAAAAGGTGAATGCAGCTTGCCCTTGATTGATGGGCCCTTGAAAGCTGGCCCTTTCACTGAAAATGAAAATGACCTGTATTCTGCCCCTTAGAAGACTAGAATGTGGCCAAGGAGCCCTATCTCAGCCTCTCTCTCTCTTTCTCTCTCTCTCTCTCTCATTTCTTTGCAGAATGAGGCATCGGTTTAGACAACTGGATACCAAGGTATGGCTCTATTTATAGTTTGGGAACTTAAAAAATATCTCTAATGTTTTTGAGCTTTCAATTAGAAGGGAATAGTGACAGACAGAAAGCAAAAGAAGTTAATTGTTTAAAAAAACTGAAGGGACTCTTTCCCATATGCAGCCATATTCTCACTCATTGTGAGCTGGGGCTGGAGCAGAATGGCTGCCTATGCTTGCAGCCACTTGGAAGCGCCACACCCATTTTCTTTAAATCATCTCTGGCTCTGTGTAACCAGGGCTCCCATCTTTGTCTCTCTGCTGTGAAGGCGGGCGAAGATGTTTGCAATTACAGGGAATCACCAGAGAGCTCAGAAGAGCTGTGTGCAAACCTGCGAGCCACTAGATGAACCTTTGATGCCAGTCTGATTTGGTAGCTACTTAATTTAGAGAGTGTTTCACACGCACAGCACACCTGTAGCCAGAAATGATGATCGGGTTCAGCAGAGATTACAATTGATTTGTACAAACCAGCTGCCTCCCAGGCTCTGAAGAGCAGGTGATATTTGCTGTTTTATCACCGTATTCTGAGAATGGCATCCTGCCTGGAGACGTTCACATACTGTGTGTTGTGCTGTTTGACGGCTAGACAGGATCCCGTGGATGCTCCTGTATTGGAAGACACAGGGAGACAGGGGCCGTTCTGTGCAGGAACCCAAGTGCCTCTGTATGGAGCTGGATTTTATGTCCATGCAAGAGGAGGCTCTGGAGAGATTCAGAACCCCGGAGAGGCATATCGGGGTTCTCTGGGAAGAGAGCCCTCCGAGTGGTCAGAGTGGCAGATTGAAGGGGCTTAAGCAATCTGGGTAAAGGGGACGTTAAGCCTAGGGAGGTGGTGGGGTGTTGCACTAATAAGGAAAACACCCTGCTTTAGTGTGTTTTGCTGTTTTGTCTTTACTTCTGGTTTATTTGGCGGGAGCTGATGGAAAGCCAACTTAGGGATTAGGCTAAAGCTCCCTCAAACCACGCCTTGGTCCTGTCCCCACGGGAGACAGGCAGAGAATGACAGAGGAGGGCACCACGGTGGGTGCAGGGAGAAAGGAACATGGCAGGAGCCAGAGCCTCCTGAGAAATTCACTGGGCCTGGCGTTAGGAAAATTGGGCAAGCGGACAACCTGGACGAGCTAACCAGATTCCCAGGGGCTATGTGGTTTGTGGACCTAGATCTTTCAGCACTAGCATCTGGGGTAGCCAGCACTGTTAGCAGGGATGGCAGACCTGGGTGCTGGGGTCGTGAAGGTGGCCTAGGGAGTCACCAAGAACTGAGATAGTACTTGAAGGCTGTTCCCACGTCCCTACAAGCCAGCGGTCTCCAGAGAGCTGGAGAAACCCCCACAGGCTGCCCTGTTTGCAGGGCCGGGGAGCTCAGCCCCATCTAGGTTCCCCCAGTGCCACGTACACCACACATTGTGTGGGTTTTGGCAGAATCGGGGCAGATGGCAGGGGAACCTCAGCTGCACAGCATGGTGCCCGCTGTGTCACCCAAGCTGTCCCCTGCTTCTCTTCCCTCGTGTGCTCCCCTGGCCCTCCCTCTTTGTATCCTCGCCTGTGACTTCTTACCGCCCCTCTGAGCAATAAAACATTATCTCCTTTACACTCACAGAATTTCAGCCACGATCTTTGGATCTTTTGTTTCTTGAGCAAGCTTTGGGGATTTTGTTTCTTTTACATTAACAGCATTTTTACAAAAAGCCTATCGAGCTATCAGTGCCGTAGCCAGTGTACTTATATATTACTGAAGGTGTATAATTTGATGTTTTGATCCGCACATAAATTGCAAAATTATTATCACTATCCAGCCTAGCTAATCAGCATATCTGTCACCTTTACATAATTGCTATTTGTGTGACGTGTGTGTGGAGAGACTTAAAGACCTGTACTCAGTCTGGGGATTTAGCTCAGTGGTAGAGTGATTGCCTAATGGAAAGGCCTGAGTACAATCCTCAGCAACAAGAAGAGACCTACTCATCAGCAAAATTCAGGCGTACAGAGTAGTGTTGGCATTGCAGCCCCCGTATTATACAGTAGCTCTCAAAACTTACTCATCTCCCATAAGAGACTTTGTGCCTATGGACCATCTTCCCACTTCACCATCCTCTGACCCCTTCTTTTTAAAAAGGCTGAATAGTTTCCCGTGATATATATATTCGTTTTATCCATAGATCTGTTGATTGACACCTCGGGTGTTTCTGTATTTTGGCTGTTCTTGTGAATAACGCCAGGTTGACTGCACAAGTGCCGGTGTCTCTTCCTGATCCTGACTTCAGTTCTTTGGATCCATACCTAGGTGTGCTGGTAGCTGGATTATACAGTACTTCTCTTTTCAGGCTTCGAGGAACTTACGTCCTGTTTTCCATAACAGCTATGCCAAATTACATTCCCATTACATCTGTAGGTTGGCTTTGCTCATCTTTGAATGTTTGGTAGAATTCATGCATGAAACCACCTACATAGACTAGCTATTGCTAGAAGGATTTTTTAAAATACCGATTCTTTCTCTGTTTGCTGTGGGTTTGTGCAGGCTGTGTATTTCTTCTTGATTCAGTCTTGGGGGGTTGCATATATTTTGTGATAAGTTTGGGCTCCAGCGAAGTTGGTGTTGATGCTATGCCTGTCATGGGGTACTTATTGCACCTGGCGGGTGACTTAATGTATGGCTGTCTGACCTGTGACTAGAGAGCCCCTCGTGTGGGAAACTCGTTTATCCTGGAAGATGACCTTGTAGTTCTTGTTTAACCATGGCTCTTCTGCTAATCCTGTGTTCTTCTTGGCATGCAGAAAAAGCTCAGCCTGGGGTAGCCGCTGCTCCTTCAAATTGAAGGTGAAAATCCAATACACAACCATCTTAGGAAATAAGTTTTTTTCCTTAGCCTTGCTAAGTTTGTCAATTTTATCTTTTTACAAAACCAACTCTTAGCTTTGTTGACTTTTATTGTTTATCTATTCCTTCATTTATTCTACTCTTTTAGTTTTATGTTCTACTTTAGACTGTTTATTAAAGCCATTTTACTATTAATAAAATCCTCTGTGTGGGATAAAGACTGTCTCCATCTCATTATACCAGAAAAACAAAGTTGTTCATAACTGACCTTAAGTCTGTAAGTAGGGATCTTGTGTCTTATTTATTTAGGCAGTCACTAGGTCATTAGGCCCTGTGTTTTTAAGTTAAAGGAAGAGGTTGTTACTGGAAATAAGCCCAATTTAAACACAGATTTTTGCCTTGGCTGAGTGGTGGAAAGCAACCTCACAGAAATTACATTATATCTGTGAGCTTTTATCAAGTGTGCAATATGGTGTGTGATTTAAGATGAGTTTATGCATCTTGTGTAACAAATTCTTGAAACATGCATATGTAAGGATAATTTCATTGTACCTTGTACTTAAATTATGTTTTAGGGTTTGTACTATTTGTGTGTGTGTATTTGTGGGGCAAGATTGTTCATTTGCAAAAAAGTTGGTTTACTGACATTATATATTGTTTTATCAGTATTATAATTTTACAAGACAAATTTTTATTAATATCCCATAGCTTTGTTATTGTGCCTTTACAAATAACATTGTTATTTTTATGTACTACTCTATGTGTCATTGCAACCTGGCATTTCTATGGGGAAAGCACTAGTGATTTACATTTAAGTTAAGCTGATATTAATTGGTTTACTAATTTGCTTACTAATTGCTAATGATATGATTTGAGACATTAAGTAATAATCAGAGCTTGAAATATCACATGCCACTCTGTCCTAACCCAGATGTGCCATGTTTGCTATTTAATACACGTCTTCTCCTTGGAAAACCAATAGAGCAATCTTTTAAAAATTGGACATTGGAAATTGTGGTCTTAAAACCAGTTCCGTTCTTTTTTTCTTTCCAAGCTTAATGATCTGAAGTGTCTCCTGAAGGAGATTGCTGCTAAAATCAAATAAAATGACATGAACTGTCATGAAAAGAAAATCTAATTATAGCAAGGTAAGTGGTTCTGATGTCTTTTTTTTTTTTTTTTGCTCTAAAAATTCACACGCTTTAAGTCTGCCTACCTTCCTTCTTTTCCTGCTTTCTTTCTCTCTTTGCTTTCTGAACTCAGGCCCTTCCCCTGATCTATACCTTTAGCCATTTTTTATTTTTGGTTTAGAGACAGGGTCTCTCTAAATCACTAAGTTCCCCAGGCTGGACTTGAATTTATGATACTTTGGCCTTAAGGCTGTTTTGAAATTATGATAATTTTCTTACTCATGTTATTTTCAGGTTTGAAAATAGTGCATTGTGCCCCAAAAAATTTAAATAATTCATGGATGTAGAGGTGATCATGGGGAAGCTCCTCTTCCCGCTTCCTTCCCCACTGCCTGCCAGAGGGTGTGAGTAGCCTTTCGGGCCTGAATAAAGCATTTGCAACCGACACAACCATTATGCCATAAATGGAAACAAGGTCATGCTGTTCTAAGGCTCGGTATTTCTTTATCCTGAACACTCCATCATGGGATTCTTTATTGATCAGTGTGTAAAATGCATGCCTTAGTCTCATTTTCTTATGTTTATTGCTATGAGACAAACACCTATATGATGATCACCTTTTTACAAACCAAAACTGCTTCAGTGACACATTTGAAAGCTTCAGCAATAGCTCACTTGCACAGTGAAAATGTAATTCAGTTAACTGGCAGAGTTGAGCTCAGGGCTTTGCTCCAGGATCTGACCATTGGCTTTAATTTGCTTCCCCTTTACTTGTCTGAAACCTGACACCAAATGTGGAAGATGCTGCTAGCGATTTGAGGAGTTAGGAACAAACAGCAACAAGCATTCTGGTCGACTAGACATTGCTGGGAAAGTACGTTGCAAAGGATGCAAACACAGGGAGAATGTCTTCCTCCCACCCTTTCTTCCTCCTCCCTCCCTTCCCTCTTTCCATTCTTACCCAGTGCAGCTGAGAACCCAGAGCCTGCTGGCCCCTGGGCTGATCACTGCTTGAGCATTAAGCACGTGAATGTCAGGCTCTTCCTTCATGGAGTGATTGTGCTACAGGGAAATCACTGTGCTTCAGTTCCTTTCACTCTGCGGTCACTCAGCTCCCTTCCTGGAGGGGTGACAGTCACAGATCGTATCTAAAAGTCCTCTGCTACGGAGGGTTTTGTCAGAGCAAGACTGATGCACATCTGATACAAACTGAAAGCCAAGCACAGCTTCCTGACGTGCTCAAGCAGAGAAGCCCAGCATATTCAGGGAGGACCTATTCCAGCGGTGACACAGTGGTGCTTAATGAAGACAACAGCAAACTTTATAATAAGTTATAATTTGGATTTTGAAACACTCGTCATTTTGCCTAGCTTATGAGACAAAAGCTAGGAAAAATAACCAGGAACAGATAAAATAATTAAAAATAATTTTAAAAACCTAAAGGTGATGAAAGAGTTGTAATAATTAGAAAAGATTAAATTCAGACATGCACCTCTACCTCTCGAGCCCTCCGATCTTCTCATCTCTTGTTCTTTTTCAAATATGTTGACTTCAGTAAAATGGGCAAATGGGCTGATTTCCTTCCTACACATCTCCCTTTGCTTAACCTTTGACCTTCATTAATATATTGAGAGTTAATTAATTGGTGAACAAAAATGGCTGGAGAGAAGGACATTACCTCTCTTCCAGTGCGTGTGGTGTATATGTGTACATGCCTCTGTTCAAAAACACAATAACAAAAGGACCACCTAAGAAAACTCTCATCCCATGCCTTCTTAAGCAGTGACATCTTTAGAAAAAAGAATTTGGCAAGTTCAATTTTTGTGCATGTTTTACTTCCAGATACAAGATCTTTTTCATATATTCTTTGTTTCTCCTATCTTTAAGAAGTTCCTGAACATTCAACTTTGTAATCAACTGGCAACATGCTGCTTAAACACTCTTCCAGGAGCTCCTGACGCTTCTTTCTTTAGAGAAGTGAGGGCAATCATCTTTCCTTAGGGGCAGGTCCAGTGTAGGGGACCTGGTGCATGTGGAAGGAGGGAGGGAGCTGGCCCCGGGGACAGGTCTTGTCCAACTCTTCCAACTCCATCCCTGAGGCTGCTTTTGATCCCATTGCTTGGGATGAGACAAACAGACCATTGTGTTATTTCTTTCTCTCTCCCACACCGAGGGTGAAAAGAAGTGAGAATCCAGGGTGAGCTGAGCCACTTGTTTTCTCTTCGTGCTTGAGGAGGACCACTGTGCCTGACGTCCTTGTAGGTTTTCCTCCCTGTACAACAATCCCTCAGTTCTTAAATTAGCTGTACTTAGAGTCTCAACGTGAAAGAATCGGAACGTGTCCCTGTAGGAGTCATCATGCAACTGCACTTTGATAGATTATTCCACTTTTTACCTTTATTAACGACTCATTTTTATTTCTGCAAAAGCCACAGAGCAAATAAAGTGCTGAGAGGCCTTCTGAGTCTGCACCTCAGTTGAATGAACTCAGCCTGGGTCACTGAACTTCTCTCACATGATTCACACTGGCAAACTGGCCAGAACACGCATCTTTCCAAGAAAAGCATTCTCAGAGCCTCTTCTGTACCAAAAGAAAATCTGTTGATGTTTGGAGGTATACTTGGAACTATTCCCAGTATACTTTCAGTTTAGTTTGAAGCAAACCACGCCCTGCCTAAGGATGCAAGTGTGAAATCTCTTCCTAACAGTGTTCTGTCCTTTCTTCTGCAGGTGATGTCAGCTGTCTGAATCAAAACGTTTAAGCAAGGCTGAAGAACAATTTTGCTATCGACCACTGAAGGAGAATTTTTCAGCTTCCTGGGTGCACTGTGGATGGCTTTTGGTTTCCCTCAGTGCGCCCACATCTGAGAACAAAGTGTGTGACTGATTTCACACTTGCAAGGGTTAGAAAGGAAGAGCATTCCCACCACTTGCTTCCGTGGAGGAGGCACCTGTGACCATCTGTGGCTGGTGCTCCGTTCTGGTGTTGGAGTGTTTAAGTCTTTCTCTCATCCTCCTTCTCCCTTAGTTATCTTATTTTAACATGTGCATCAACAGAGCATTTTATTTTTACAAAAAAGACCCTAGTCTTGCTTTTACTCTGGCATTATTTTGCTCATTCCTAGTTGATTCTCTATTTTTTCCTTTTGTGTTATATGGCTATAATACATTGATATATGTGAAAAAAACTTCCAAATCAGGTCAGATTTTAGAACATGCTAGGGCGCAGGGAACCTGCTCTTTTGGAGAGGCCATTTCCTTTCTCATCTTGCTTCTCACCTATAGAGGGAGAGTCTTGGGCAGTGACTTCCCCTGTGGGTCTCCCCAGGAGGGCTATGGAAGGGACCACCCTGCTCCAACAATGTGGAAGTCACCAAGACAGAACCTTGAGAGGCACCTGATGGTTTTTTTTTTCTTATTATTTTTCCCATTAAAAAGAACACATAGATATTGTAGACAATTAGGCTTCACAGAGATGTAGAAAGGACAGAAACAGCCCTCCCTTCCTGAAGCAGTTGCTCCACACATCTCTGGGTATTTTCCAACTCTAGATTTTCTAGTTTTATTTCCCTTGAACATTTTTACATAGTATCATCGTCCTGCACACACATTTTTTTGTAAGACTTTTCATTTAATATTTTATGAAAGATGTTTTGTTTATATACATGGTATTCTTAAACTGTATACTAACAATTTCATCATATTCAGCCTCTCATAATTTCCATAATGTTGGTCATTGGAAGGCTGTTTCCATTTGGCCCTTGGGATGAGTATCTTTGTGCATGAGCTTTTTTCTGCATTTGGGTAAAGTTCCCAAGTCTAGATTCTAAGGACTCTCCATTGGTCATCAAACCACTTATAAGGCTTTTTCATAAATGTATAGCAAATAGGGATTGTTAAGTTGAACATAAGATATGAGAGACACGAAGCTACAAATATTAAAATGAAATACTGTATCTAATCCTTAACTTAAGAAGAAACATATATACTTATTTGAATATTGTGTTGATATGGAATTGGAGAGCTGTCTTACCGAGCACTCCACCCCAGCCTTTGGAAGTGGTGTTATCTGAGCTCGGAGAGACAAGCGTGGTGTGCCCACAGCATTTTAACTAGTTTCCCAGCTCTGAGTAGACTGTAAACAGTGGATGAAGAAAGGAGTTTTAGAAGGAAGCTATTAAATGAATATCTCGTTAGAAAAACTACAAAAGCACTACCAAAAATTCTATTTTCATTTTTTCTTGGGCAGTAGTTGAAAGGCCCATTCAGATGCTTCATGACATTTGCAGGGAGTGAACACAAATAAAAGATTATTTTTTTACTTAACCCCAATAATGGCTTAAAAGGGACGCTTACTCAATGCGACCCGTCAGTTCATAGTTTCAGATGCTGAATGATGGGACAAAATTTACATGACAAAGAAATGGTCCACGAATGGAGAGCTCAAGATTTTCTGTTTGTGAGAGAAAATGTCACTTCCATTTTACCATGGCAACTAAGATACCTGCTATTTCTGAATCCACCAGGAAGAAGGTCATGTCTGCTCCACACAGATTAGAAAAAAAAATATGGCAGGAAAAAAAAATATATGCTGGTCCCTAAGACTGTACCAAGAGAGGAACAGTCTCAACCTCTCCCCTCAGTTCAAGTGGGAAATATGAATGGAATCAATGAATTATATTTAAAACTGTCCCTAGAAGACAATAGTCACATAATCTATTTACTGATCTTCCTTTTATGAATTTGCTTGTGTATTCCTGTTTCCACTGATGGTGTTTCTATCAGCTTGATAGATAGGCCTATGTGTACCCCAGGATCAGTGGCAGAAGAGGTTCTCCTGTTGACCCGAGAGTCTTGAACATTTCTTCAGAATTCACTTGTATGAGGTAGGGAACTTGTCAGAGTTTCTGCTCCTGCTTCTCTGTCAGATGTTTCTGCATGGTTACTCCCTGGGATTTCTGTTACGCTAAATCACGACTTCCAGTGTAGCTCATGGAAATGGCTCGTGTACTGACTGTTCCTCTAATCAAGGTGCTACATCTGTTTGTGTGTGTTGAGTGTGGCCTGTGTCCCTCTGCACAACCACTGAGAGTCTGGAGGAGGCTTGGTTTAAATGAGCGAGTTAATGAATTAAATAATAGAGGAATTGTCCTGTGTTGTTTTTGTCATTCTATGGAGAGTGAAAAAAATTCTTTCATGGAGTCAGAGTCATTTCTAAAGAGATTCTATTCCCAGAGTTACGCGAGCTGACATCTTTGAGCAGAGAGCTGGAACATTCTGATTGGATGCAAGCAGAAGGTCCCTGTGCTCTGGCTCTTGTCAGTAGAGACAGATGTCTTGGGCCAGCTTGGATGCCCACTGTGTGGAGTGATTTCCTTGCTGTAGGCACCAGCCCACGTGTGTGCCCCGGTCCTTCTCCGCCAAACCTCATGGACTTCAGGAGGAACGGAGGAACAAAGAATGTCTTTCCCCACCTGCTGCTGCTGGGTCCATGGGGGAGACTCCCTGGGTGGTTGTCATGGAAACAGCTGCTACCACAGCCTCTGTCTCAAAAACAAAGGGCTCAGAAGTCAGACCCTGGAGAAGAGATGGGGCAAGGCCCTGGAGACAAACTTCCCAGTCCCCTCTGTGATCCCCCAGCCAGGCACAAGCAGAGGGGCCTCTCTTGTCCTGAGGATGGAACTCTGTAGAAAAATAAACCCCTGGTGGTCTATCCATTTGTTTCTGACCTGAGCAGACACTTCAGAACCACATCTGGTGTGGGATCCAGTCAGGGCTCGGGAGCTGTGCGCCCATACTGACACAACACCAATTGTTTTACAATCAAATTTTCCCCTACAGAAGTCTTATTTGACAAGAAATTCCTTGTATTTCCCCATCTATATGATATGTTGCCATTAAACATTTCCCATGAGCTCATATATGTCAGGAATCTGCATCCTCTGTCTTCCACCATTTTACAATCTATTTGAGGGGCCAGGTGAACTGAAGAAGCAGGATTGAAACCCCAAGGCAGAGGCCAAGTGTGGGGGCTGATAAGGACTCAGAGATGTGCAGGAGATGCTGAGATGGGGTTGGAGGAGCTCTCGGGATGCTCATCCCTGCTTGTGCAATGAACGGGAAGAAATTGGTTCCCCCAAATTCTCTCTAGGAGATCAGGAATTGGGCAGAAATTTCCCCAAGAAACAATTAGGGGCAGACAGCAAGACACAAGCTGCTAAAAATGGCCACTGCTGTGCGCCAGGCAAGGGCAGCACATCTAGAGGCTGCGGGAAACTCTCAGGATTCAGAGAAGAAAGCGCAGCAAAATGAGGTGCAGGTGAGGAACCATTAAGGGTGCAAATCTTCAGAAAAGGAATATGCCAACCTAGGCTGAGGGTGTAGCGCAGTGGTAGAGTGCTTGCCTAGCATGCATGAGGCCCTGGGTTCCATCCTTAGCACTGAAAAATTTTGTAAGAAGGTAAAGAAATAAAGATGTCACATCAGCAGATCACACAGAATCTTCTGTGGTCTCACGTCATGCGGCATGCAGGTGTGCTTCTTCTTGTGATCTTTCTCCCTGTGTTTCCTGCCTCTGCTGAGTGTCTGATAGGAGGCAGTAGAGTGCAGTAGCCTAGGACAACAGGACACATTTGCTTCCTTTTGAGCTGACTCTGACTTTAAGAAGAAAAGGTTGCACAAACTCAGCATGCCCTGATTTGCTCATCTGTGAAAGGATTCTACTTCATCAGAGGGCTGAGAGGGTTTAGTGAGGAAACTCAAGAAGCTCTGAGGTTCTGGCACTTGGTCACTGTCAGGTGGATGTTTACTCCCCTTACTATCACCATTCTGTACTGTACTCTGTCCAAAGTCACTTCTGCCTTTCTTCTTGGCAAACTCTTATTTTACTTTCAGAGCCCAGCTTGAGAATCATCTCCTCCAGACTGCCTGTGTTGGTCAGCCAACACTCACACAGCAGCCCCTGGCATCTCTGCCTGATGAGATCTCCCCTTCAAGGCTTGTGTAGGTCATCTGGTGGTAGACAAGGACTTCTCCTGGCCACAGGCTTGGTCAGACACCATGTATGCTCTGTGTAAGTGGAGTGAACAGTCATGCTAACTGGAAAGCTGTGGTCATCCCTCCCCAAAATGGACTCTTTAGGCATCTCCTGCCCTGGTGGACTGCAGAGCTCCCAGAGGAAAGAGGCACCATCCTCCTGAGCTTTGTAGTCTGTGCCTAGACTATTGCACAAGCTGGGGGAGTGCTGTGTGCTTGAGACGCACTGCTCTGCACCATTCTCCAGTGGGCCCTGTGACAGTCATGTCCATGGCCCTTCCCTCTTCTTGCCTGGTTCAACTACTGCTCACCCTTGGGTGGCGCCACCCTGTCCTGACCTTGCACTCCAAGGCAGAGGCCACCAGTCTTTCCCCATGTGAGGATGGAACTTGATTTGTGAACTTGACAGCAGTCCTGGAGGCTGCCTGGGAGGGATTTTGGTCATGGGTGAGGGTCTTGCAACCAGGGTCTCCAGAGAAACAGAAAAAAGAAGGTGTACAAGGGGCAATCGAAATATATGGAGAATATTTACATTAACAATGTGAAAGACACATGGCCATATATCCACCTCAGAATCCTCTCCCTCACTTCAAACACACTTATTCCACCATTCATGCCACTTCCCGCAGCAGTTCAAGAAGTCCTCTTTCATGAATGTGTTTATGAGTCATGATAAAAAAATATGGCCAATGCAGCTCTAGTAGAAAATGCCCCCTCCAGCTAGTACACTTCAGTTTGTTGGTTGCCCACCTACTGTGTTTCATATCTGGTGGTTCCTGTCTCTTAGAAACAGCTGGTCACTGTGATACATAGCTGGCCACTATGATGCACATTGTATAAACCAATCCCCAATTGACAAGCCATTCTGTCTCGTACTTCCTGCTTGTTTGTCCAATAGAAGCCCTAGACCACCAGAGATCAGGGTGATATTCTGATATTCTGTGAATGAGTGCTATCAGTATACATCATTATAAATAAATCTGCCTCCAAATCTTGGGTGTCATTTTGGTGTTTTTGCTTGCCATTGCATCTGCTGTGATGGTTTGGAAGACTAACCATGCTGACCTCTTTGGTCACCACTCATGGCCCTCACAGGTGGAGCAAGGACCTCTCCAGTTCCTGAAAGGAAAGCGCACCCTGGAGATTTCTCAAGTCCCCTTGGAGGTCTGGAGGAGGATTCCTGGCTCCCCCCTTGAGTGGCTCACCTTAGATCCCAAAGGGAGGAGGATGTAATCTGTTTGTCTGTCTACCTGCCTGCCTGATTCTAGTAGGACCCCTGGCAGCACGTCAGTTAGTCAGTCTATCAGCTCTGCTCAGTTTGAGCAGAAGAAGAGCTTGATCAATTCTTGTTAGTTAAGGCCACCCTCGTGGGAAAGGGAGCTGGAATGTTTAACCTCTGAGGCCTGCTGAAGGACTGTGTGAGTGAAGCAGAGAGTATAAGCCATAGGCTGCTCCATCTGTGCATCAAGACTGGGAAGCACTGGTCATGGTGGCTGCTGGTCTGTGGCAACTGACAAGTGGCATAACAGAGGCCTCACACCCTCCTTAGCTAAGTCTTGCCT